TCTGGTAGATACTAAGATTTTTCTCTTTATCACTGGTTTCCTATAATTTTATTATGATGTGTCTTGGTATGCATTTTCTTTCTTTATGCTACTTATTATTCCTTGGACATTTTAGACTAGGGGTTTTTAACTTTCTTCATATTTGGGGATTTTCAGCCATTATTATTATTTTTTTAAGATTTTATTTATTTATTCATGAGAGACACACACACACACATAGAGAGAGGGAGAGGCACAGAGACACAGGCAGAGGGAGAAGCAGGCTCCATGCAGGGAGCCCAACATGGGACTCGATCCTGGGTCTCCAGGATCATGCCCTGGGCTGAAGGCAGCGCTAAACCGCTGAGCCACCGGGACTTCCCTATTTCTTAATCTTTTTCTCTCTACTGCTTTCTAAGACTTGGTTAGACATACATTAGACCTTAATACTGTTCTAGAGCTCACTGATATTCCTTTCATTTTCTTTCTAGTCTTTTTTCTCTATGTGTTTCACTTTGGATACTTTCCATTTTTATATTTTCAAGTTCCCTAGTTTTTTGTTTGTTTTGTTTTGTTTGTTTGTTTTGCAATGCTGAATGTGCTATTATGCCCATTTACTGAAAATTTTTATTTCAGTTATTTTATTTTTCATCTCTAGATTTTCCATTTGGTCTTATTTATGCCTTTAATATCTCTCCTCATTGTCCTCATCTTTTCTTTTAAATAAACATAGTTATAATAACTATTATAATGTCCTTGATGTTAATTCTATCTTCTCTGCCATTTGAGGACTTGTTTCTAATGATCTTTTTCTGGTTATGGGTCATATTTTCCTGCTTCTTGGCATATCTACTAGTTTTTTATTGGAAGGCAAACACTAAATTTCACATTAATTGTCCAGATTTTTTTGTTTTCCTTTAAAGAAAAGGGGTAGTTCTGTTGAGATTAGTTACTTCTGTTTCAATTTGATCCTTTTGAGGCTTATTTTAAATTTTTTGTTAGGTGGGTCTAGTGCAACCTCTAGTGTAGTCCAGATCCTCTGGGATTGCACTGAATACCCTGAGAGACTGACAAAGACCCTCTGTGGGCTGGTAGGAACTTCCTATCCTCAAATGATTCCTGGCCCTCAGTAAGCTATGGGAAGCAGTTAACTGAGATCCCTAGTTGTCCTTTGCCTTCCTCCATGGATTTTAACCCTATGTGTGCCTTAGTAGTTAGCAGGATTAAGGGGACTCCAGTGCACAATTCTGAACTCTTTTCCCATGTAGTTCTTTCCTCTCTAGAACTCTACCCCAAATTCAAGACATTTTATACTCCCTGAGTTCCAATTTATGTCTCATCTGAGCAAGGCTATAAAGATTCCCTTCCATCCCTTCCATTTCAGAATTGCTTCCAAATAAAAAGCAATTGTAGGATTCACTCAGCTGTTTCCTTTTTCTCATTGATTACAGTCCTGCACTGTGTCTAATGTCTAAGAAGAGGGGTTCTGTATGTTTTGTACAGTTTTCAATTGTTTAAGGAAGGAGAATAAATCCAGCCCCTCTTAATCTATCTTTGGGATAGTCAAGATGGGAAGTTTAGAAAGTCCTATAAATGGATAAAACATAGCAGTAATTTTTCTAGGTAGCTGGTATCTATAGGAATGTTTTTCCACTGAATCTCCCCCAACTCTAGGAAAGCTGTCTGTGACTATGAGTATCCATGTACAGGGCTATTGACTAGCCATTCTTCACTTTAAGCTGTATAAGTAGAGAGCCACACTTTAGGCTATGGAGCCCTCCAAACAATTAACCAGGATAAGTATTATTATGAGAATAATGCCAGAATAAGAACCATACTCTTATAGCCCTAATTTTTCATAAGTGTATCTTCCAAATGTTTAGAGGTGAGATCTTTTATTTTTTATGTAGGGGTAAAAATTCTGGGCTGCCCAAACTGGGAAAGCACTGAGGATAGGAAAGAGGTAGAAGATAAAAAAGAAATAGACAGGAAAAGTCTTTCCTAAGCACAATTAAATGTTTCTAGCTCTATTCTTACTTTTTACTTTTTTAAATTATTTATTTCTTTTAAGTCTATTGTATCTTTTTAAACTTCTTATTCTCTGGTGATCCCCTTACATTATACATTTTTCTAGGCTCATTATTTTAGTATTATGTTTTTGGTGTCAGAGAAAGCCAGCAAATAAATGTGTTCTACCTGGATGTTTTAACTGGAATCTCCTAACATATTAGTGTTGTAATTATGTTATAAAGAGCCTTGTATATTTTTGGTTGGGACAAATATCTTCTTTCAAATTTTCCTATTAGTATTTTCATATTTTGTCTTCAAAATAAAATTTAGAAGTAGCTAATCAAGTTTTATTATTTTTAATTCTGTAGGGATTTTGGTTAAATTGCATTAAATCTATTAATATTGTAGAGAAATTGCATGTTTACAATATTGAGTTTCCCTGGAACATGCTATATTATTCAGGCCACTCTTTTATATCTACATTTTAATCCTAAGTTTCCACAGCTTTTTTCTATTATAAATAGACAAGTTTCACACTTCTGTCATATAAAAAATATATTTTTTGGAGATCTTTACATTTATTGGACTATTTTATTATTTCTAAAATTGTTCAATAGGGTTTTTTTAAGGTTTTTAAATTTACTTATTCATGAAAGAGAGAGAGAGAGAGAGAGAGAGAGAGAGGCAGGGACACAGGCAGAAGTAGAAGCAGGCTCCATGCAGGGAGCCGGATGTGGGACTCGATCCCAGGTCTCCAGGATCACACCCTGGGCCCAAGGCAGTGCTAAACTGCTGGGCCACCTGGGCTGCCCTGTTCAACAGTTTCTTTTTACATTGTAGGTAAGTAACTATATCACCTGGGAGGAATGATGTATTTTTGTGTGTGTGTGACATTTATTCTCCTCAGGGCTTTTTCCTGTCTTACTGCATTAGCTGCATTTTCTAGCACAGTGTTTGAGTCGTTGATGGCTCTAGCTTAAGGTCTGTTATGATTCTGATAGATATACTTTAAAAAGTAAGAAAGGTTCTTCCTAATCCTCATGTCCTAAGAGGCTTAAAGTGAAAAGGGTATTTGATTTTATCAAATAGCTTTCCAGCATCTATTGGGAGAATATGTACATTTTCCATTTTAATATATTGATTAAGCTAATTAAAATAACAGACCTACTAATGTCAAGCTATTGTAGTGGTCATTAAACAATCAATCTAAAAAAATAAAATAAACAATCAATCTTATTTTATGATCATTTAAAATGTGAATTCCATTGGCTAATACTTGATTTGGGGTTTTTTCAATGAGTTAGAAATATTATTTTCAAAAAAAAACAAAAAAAACAAACAAAAAAGAAATATTATTTTCCTTTTTAGCTATCCTTGTCCAGTTATGCTAGCCTCATAAAATAGATTGAAATTCTTTTCATATTTTTCTATGGCCAAGACAATTTAAATAACAAAAGGTTGAAGCACCTTGGTGGCTCAGTTGGTTAAGTGTCTGACTCTTGATTTCAGCTCAGGTCATGATTTCAGGATTGTGAGATGGAGCTCCAAGCTGGGCTCCATGCTCAGCACAGAGTCAGCTTGAGATTCTCTCTCTCCTTCTCCCTTTGCCCCTCTCTCTCTGCTGCACACATACACTTTCTCTCTAAATAAATAAAATCCTTAAAAAGAAAAAAATCAATGGACATCATAAATAATTTATACCCTTTAAATCAAGTGTGTGTGTGTGTGTGTGTGTGTGTGTGTGTTCCTCTGCTTTATTTCAAAAATCTTAGTTTTTCTACATGCTTCACTATTTCTGTGACTGGTTTCTGCATTTGCTTTTCTGTAAATTGACACAATGCATTTATGTAAACTAAATGAGCTCTCCCAATTGTCATAATGCTTCTTATAACTCCTAGTAAGACATTAAATGAGCATTCCCATCTATGAATATTACATGAAGTGTGAACTGCTACTAGAGGTCCATCAATAAAAATTAATTATAGCTAACAAAGGCATAAATGTAATTAGATTTTAATAAAATTTGAAAATATAAACCTCCTATCCCAAAAGAATGCATATATCTATACAGCTTATTTAGTAACATCAATATATATGACTTTTATTCAGTTATGTGCATCTAGTAAATCTTTTCCTAAAGACAAATGTATTTCCTTTGGGTCACATTATATCCTTGATAATATCTTTAAGATGTTCATTCCACACTGTCCTCCAGATAGGAAATAAAGATTTTAAATATTCTTTTAGAAAAAAGTAAATAGCGTGAGATATAAAAATAAATAAATAGGGGGGCACCTGGGTGGCTCATGGTTGAGCGTCTGCCTTTAGCTTAGGGTGTGATCCTAAGGTCCTGGGATTGAATCTGACAACGGACTCCCCACAGGGAGCGTGCTTCTTCTGCCTATGTCTCTACCTCTCTCTCTCTTGTCTCTCAGGAATGAATAAATAAAATTTTATACATACATATATATATATTATAATAGTAAAAATTCTCTATACCATCTGCAATCCCTTTAAAAGTCAGATACATCTGAATTGACAGTGTTCTTCCCACCTCTCACCCTGAATAAAAAGCAAATCAAAAGAGTACTGCAGCCTCTAAACACTTTGATTTCCAGTTCTGAGAAGCCTAGAATGGCAAAGGGACAAGTACTAAGGAAATCACCATGTTCAAAAATAACTTCCCCAATATATCATATTAATAGATACTGTAAATTTCTCTTTTTAAATAGTAATACCCCTACCCTCAATTGAATAGGGATTGTTAATAAAAAAGACCTCACTGTGAATTACAGTAATGTATTTAAATCAAATCTCTTAAGAACTGATTTTTTTTAAGTGGTAGGGCAAATGAAAAAGAGATAATCCGGGAATAAGAGATTAAGACCCGGCGTGGGAGGGTGGGGTGAGGGGCGCAGGGATGTTTCAGGGAAGGCAGGTTTGGACAGGTTTGGCAGATTAGAAGTAAGCTTTCCAACAATAGACTATATTTCAGGATTTTATGAAATGTTTAAACAGTTTATTTTCCCCAGAAACAGAGACCTAAACAAAGATTAGCAATCATATATTATTAACAAATACTATTTATTCATTAGCAATAGTACTAAAACAAGGAAGAGTATTAGAGTTGCAGGGTATATATATTTTAAATACTTGAGATACCTGTTCCATATCTTACGTTTTTCTGCAAATAATTCGCATTTGATAATGAATTGTTGGTAGATGGGACCTAGAGAGCTATTTGTCTTCCTCATGCTAATAGGACTGGACTGAAGCAGTCTTGTAGTTCTTCATATTTAGTGCCCTAAAATTGGAAAATAAATGCATATTTAGTTTTAAGGTACAGGTAATATATCTGTACATTCTTGTAAAAAAAAGTTTTGCAATACAAAATTAATAATTCAAAACCAAATTCTCTCACCACATTAAAAAGCTTCACTTAAAAAATTTTTAAAAAATAAAAAGCTTCACTTAAAATATAATTTAAGATGGAAAAATTGGATTTGAGGACCAATTTTAAGTACAACCAAAAGGTTTATTTTTTTTTTTTAACTTAGGGTAAGGGGTGCTTAGGTGGCTCAGTCACTTGAGCATCTGACTCTTGATTTTGGCTGCGGTCATGATCTCAGGGTTGTGGGATTAGGCCCTATGTCAGGTTCTGCACTTGGCATAGAGTCTGCTTGGAATTCTCTCTCCCTCACTCTCTGCCCCTCTCCCCACTCATGTGCATGCTCTAAAATAAGTAAATTTTTAAGTAAAATATTGTAATAAATAAGTAAAATTAGGGTAAAAGAAGCTAAAACTTGCTTTAGGATAATATTTGTGATAATATAAAAAGTATCAATAAACTCAAAATTACCAAACAGAAGATAAACTTCTGATTTTCCAAAAGAGCAATCAGATATTCTTTTCTTTTCTCTGCTCCAAACATATATATCATAGCAGTTTCTCAGGTCTGCTCTCTGGATAGAAAAGGACACAGAGAAAACCTGAATCTGCCCACTCCCCTGACCCAAAAAAGAATCCCATCTATTTGAGGGTGAATGTAGTGAAGAAAATTCTAATTCTACTCTCTGTTCTATATTACATAGATAAAGTTGGGCAGAGTACTGATAGATAGGGGGCTTGCCAAAGGAGAAAGATCAAGGGACATGAAAAAAGACTACATATATTTCCACTTCCACCAACTAGACCACTTAGAATATTATGCCTGGAGACAACAGTTAAATTACATGAATAATAATGATAGGCAGTCTTATTTTGGAGATAGAATAATAAGACTGGCATTAAAATCACCACCCAGAAGTGATACAGATGTATTGAAATGTTTTTATAAAAGAATTGAATTTGGTGTCCTTTACCTAATCTATTATATGATTACACAGAAGTTAGAAAGATGTAAATTAGCTTCATCAGCAATAAAACTTTTTCAATGAACATAAAGGTAATCAAATGAATTCTTTCACTTATTCAGATCTTGCACACACACACACAAAAGGAATGATGGACTGTCCTTTTCTAATTTATATTCTGAACTCTTGAGAACTTCTCAGTTTTCAGAATGCTCAAAACCTGGGTAAAATTGGAACTTTTAAGATACTTTAATAAAATATTTTCTTCAAAGTATTATAATACTTTATAAAGTGATGTTAATAGCTTTTTTTTAACTAACCAAAATATTTCCTGGACAATTTCGTAAAAGATTATTTCAAACTTAAGGAGAAAAGTCTCAAGTGTCATTAGGATTCCTCACAACTACTGAGAGCCTCGAGCCCTCATGGAGATAATAATTTAACCAAGATTGTTTTTAAAAAGCCCTTTGATAAATAGACAATGTTAACATGTACTGCTAAATGAACTATAAATATCTAAACAGTCTCAGCAAATCATAATAAGGTACTATAGATCTGATTTAAAAATTATGGGGGGATCCCTGGGTGACCCTGCAGTTTGGCACCTGCCTTCAGCCCAGGATGTGATCCTGGAGTCCCGGGATCGAGTCCCATGTTGGGCTCCTTACATGGGGCCTGCCCTCTGCCTCTCTCTCTCTCTCTCTCTCTCTCTCTCTCTCTCTCTCTGCGTCTCTCATGACTAAATGAATAAAATCTTTAAGAAAAATTATGAATAGAAGAGTTCATACAATATTAAGCTTTTTTAATTAGAAATTTCAAAAGATGGTAAAAAGAACTTCTACAAAGGACAGCTTCTATATGGAAGGAGCTGAGATTTCCAAAGACACCCGGATTTGTTATTGTTTAAAGTATGTACAAATAGGAGATATTATTTTGAAGAGTTCGAAAGTCAAAAACAAATTTTCTTAGTTTATAGGCTAAGGTAACATAATACTGATACCTTTTGACATTCAAAGTCATTATACTTTCAACTGGTCTGCTCTTTGGCCCACTTGGTGGATGGAAAATCTTAGCACCTTTGCTGGAAATCTGGCTTGACAATTTAACCACATAAGGGTCAGCAGAATGTGAAGGATAAGGGTCAAATGTTCCTGCCTTCATTCCACCTGCCTATAAATAAAAATGAGATAATTCAACATAGTTGGGTAAAATGCTTCTAACAAAATTAGAATTTGAAGAAGTTGATACATATTTGTGTATTGTCTATAGAGCTGGTTTTACATTTAAAGGAAGTTGTCTATACAAACATACCTCAGAGATATTGTGGGTTCAGTTCCAGACAATTGCAATAAAGTGAATATCACAAAAAAGTCCAATGAATATTTTGGTTTCCCAGTACTTACAAAAGTTATATTTATACTATGCTGTAGTCTATTAAGTATGTAATCACATTGTGTCTAAAAAAACAATGTTTACACTTTAATTTAAAAATAGTTTATTGCTAAAAAAATACTAAACATCATTTGAGCTTTCAATGAATCATAGTTTTTGCTGGTGGAAGTTCTTGCCTTGATGTTAATGGCTGCTTACTGACCAAATGATGACTGCTGAACGTTGGTGTGGCTATGCAATTTCTTAAAATAAGAAATGAAGTTTGCCATGTCAATTGAGTCTTTCTCTCATGAATGATTCCCTGTAGCATGCAATGCTGTTTGATAACATTTTACCCACAGTAGAACTTCTTTCAAACTGGAGTCCATCCTCTCAAGCCCTGCTGCTGCTTTATCAACTAAGTATATCTTACAGTATCTGAGACTAATACACATAAAAATTAAAGATATAATTGTGATATTTCAAGTTTTCCAGATTGAGGACACATAGATTCTTTTGAGGAGCAACAAATAATAAATAAACTTAAGAAAAAGCAAGTTCATTAAACTGGATGAATTAAAAATAGAAAAATATATAAACAAACCATCAAATGATGCCTTACAAAATAAATTAAATAGATAAATCTGCAACATCACTAGGAATGCCCATTTCTTTTTTAAAAAAGATTTTATTTATTTATTCATGAGAGATACAGAGAGAGAGAGAGAGAGAGAGAGAGAGAGAGGCAGAGACGCAGGCAGAGGGAGAAGCAGGCTCCATGCAGGGAGCCTGACACAGGACGGAAACCCGGGTCTCCAGGATCACGCCCTGGGTTGAAGGCGGCGCTAAACCGCTGAGCCACCCGGGAATGCCCATTTCTTAAATTATTTGTTCTTCAGATGTTGAATTTGATAAATTCTTTATACATTTTGGATACTAGCCCTTTACCTGATATGTCACTTGTAAATATTTTCTCCCATTCTGTTGGTTGTCTTTTGGTTTTGTCGACTTTGTTGTGCAAAGGCTTTTCATCTGGATGAAGTCCCAATAGCTCATTTTTGCCTTTGTTTCCCTTGCCTTTGGAGATGTTTCTAGCCAGAAGTTGCTGTAGCCAAGGTCACAGAGGTTGCTGCTTGTGTTCTCCTCTAGGATTTTGACAGATTCCTGTCTCACATTTAGATCTTTCATCCATTTTGAATTTATCTTTGTGTATGGTGGAAGAGGATGGTCCACTTTCATTCTTCTGCATGTGGCTATCCAATTTTCCCAATACCATTTATTGAAGAGACTTTTTATTGGATATTCTTTCCTGCTTTGTTGTATATTAATTGACCATAGAGTTGAGGGACCATTTCTGGGTTCTCTATCCTGTTTCATTGACCTATGTGTCTGTTTTTGTACCAGTACCATACTGTCTTGACGATTACAGCTTTGTAATAGACCTTGAAGTCTGGAATTGTGATGCCATCAGTTTTGGTTTTCTTTTTCAAAATACCTTTGGTATTTGGGGTCTTTTCTGGTTCTACACAAATTTTAGGATATTTGTTCTAGCTCTGTGAAAAAAAGTTGATGGTATTTTGATAGGGGTTGCATTAAATGTTTAGATTGCTCCAGGTAGTAAAGATATTTTAACTCTATTTGTTCTTCTAATCCATGAACATGAAATGTTTTTCCGTTTCTTTGTGTCTTCCTCAATTTTTTTTTATGAGAATTCTACTGGTTTTGAAATACAAATCTTTTGCCTCATTGGTCAGGTTATTCCTAGGTATCTTATGGTTTGGGGTGCAATTGTACATGGGATCCCTAATTTCTCTTTCTTCAGTCTCATTGTTAGTGTATAGAAATGCAACTCATCTGTGCATTGATTTTGCCACTTTGCTGACTGAGTTCTAGCAACTTTAGGGGGAAGTCCTTTGGGCTTTCCACATATCATGTCATCTGCAAAGAGCGAGAGTTTGACTTCTTTGCTAATTTGGGTGCCTTTTCTTTTGTTGACTGATTGCTGAGGCTAGGATTTCTAGTACTATGTTGAACAGCAGTGGTGATAGTGGACCTCCTCCCATGTTCCTGACCTTTGGGAAAAAGCTCTCAGTTTTTCTCCATTGAGAATGATATTTGTAGCCAAGGTCATAGAGGTTGGGCTTTTCATAGATAGCTTCTATGATATTGAAATATGTTCCCTCTATCCCTACACTGTGAAGAGTTTTAATCAAGAAAGGATGTTGTGCTTTGTCAATGTTTTTTCTGCATCTATTCAGAGGATCATATGGTTTTTGTCCTTTCCTTTATTAATGTAGTGTATCACATTGATTCATTTGCATATGTTGAATCACTCTTGCAGCCCAGGAATAAATCCCACTTGGTTGTGGTGAATAATCCTTTAAATGTACTGTTGGATCCTATTGGCTAGTATCTTGGTAAGAATTTTGGCACCCATGTTTGTCAGGGATGTTGGTTTGTAATTCTCCTTTTTGATGGAGTCTTTGTCTGGTTTTGGGATTAAAGTAATGCTGACCTCATGGAAAGAGTTTGGAAGTTTTCCTTCCATTTCTATTTTCTGAAACAGCTTCAGAAGAAAAGGTATTAATTCTTTAAATGTTTGATAGAATTCCCCTGGGAAGCCATTTGGCCCTGGACTCTTGTTTGTTGGGAGATTTTTTATTACTACTTCAATTTCCTTGCTGGTTATGAATCTGTTCTGATTTTCTATTTCTTCCTGTTTCAGTTTTGGTAGTTAATATGTCTCTAGGAATGTATCCATTTTTTCCAGATTGCCTAATTTGTTGGCATATAGTTGCTTATAATATGTTCTTATAATTGTTTGTATTCTTCGATGTTGATTATGATCTTTCATTCAGGATTTTATTTATTTAGGTTCTTTCTCTTTTCTTTTTCATAAGTCTGGCCAGGGGGTTATCTATTTTATTAATTCTTTGAAAGAATCAGTTCCTAGTTTCATTGATCTGTTGTACTGTTCCTTTGGTTTCTATTTCATTGATTTCTGCTCTAATCTTTATTAATTCTCTTCTCCTGCTGGGTTTAGGCTTTACTTGCTGTTCTTTCTCCAGCTCCTTTAGGTGTAAGATTAGCCTGTGTATTTGAGACCTTTCTGTTTCTTAAGGCTTGTATTGCTATATACTTCCCTCTTATGACCATCTTTGCCATATCCCAAAAGCGTGGAACAGTTGTGTTTTCATTTTCATTAGTTTCCATGAAGTTTCTTAATTCTTCTTTAATTTCTGGTTGACCCATTCTTTAGTAGGATGCTCTTTAGCCTTCATGTATTTTGAGTTCTTTCCAAATTTCCTCGTGATTGAATTCAAGTTTCAAAGCACTGTGGCCTAAAAATGATCCTAATCCTTTGGTACCAGTTGAGAATTGATTTGTGACCTAGTATGTAATCCATTCTGGAGAATGTTCCATTTGCACTCGAGAAGAATGTGTATTGTTGCTTTAGAATGGAATGCTCTCAGTATATCTATGAAGTCCATCAGGTCCAGTATGTCATTCAAAGTCCTTGTTTTCTTGCTGTTCTTCTGTTTAGATGAACTGACCATTGCAGTGAATGGGGTGCTAAAGTCTCCTACTATTATTGTTTTATCATAAATGTGTTTAATTTTGTTATTAACTTCTTTACATAATTGGCTGGTCCCATGTTAGGGGCATAAATATTTACATTTGTCAGATCTTCTTGTTGGATAGACCCTTTTATCATTATTTGGTGTCTTTCCTCATCTCTTATTACAGTTTTTAGTTTAAAATCTAATTTTTCTGATATAAGGATTGCCACCTCAGCTTTCTTTTGACGTCCATTAGCATGATAAATGGTTTTCCACCCCCTCACTTTTAATCTGGAGGTGTCTCTGGGTCTAAAATGAGTCTCTTGCAAACAGCATATCAATGGGTCTTGTATTTCTATCCAGTCTTATACTCTGTGTCTTTTGATTGGGGCAGTTAGTCCATTTACATTGAGTAATTATTAAAAGATATGAATTTAGTGCCATTGTATTACCTGTGAAGTCACTGTTTCTGTTTATTGTTTCTGTTCCTTTCTGGTATATGTTACTTTTGGGCTCTCCCTTCATTTAAAGGATCCCTTTTAATATTTCTTGCAGGGCTGGTTTGGTGATCACAAATTCTTTTAGTCTCTATTTGTCCTAGAAGCTTATTATCTTTCCTTCTATTTTGAATAACATCCTAGCTGGATAAAATATTCTTGGCTGCATGTTCTTCTCATTTAGCACCATGAATATATGATGCCAGTCCTTTCTGGCCTGCCAGGTCTCTGTGGATAGGTTTGCTTCTAGTCTAATGTTTCTACTCCTGTAGGTTAAGGACCTTTTGTCCCAAGCTGCTGTCAGGATTTTCTCTTTGTCTCTGATATTTGCAAGTTTTGCTATTATATGTCAGGGTATTGACTTATTTTTTTATTTTAGGGGGGGGGGTTCTCTGTGCCTCCTGGACTTGAATCCCTGTTTCCTTCTCCAGATTAGGGAAGTATTCTGCTATAATTTACTTCATTATACCTTCTACCCCTCTCTCTTTCCTCTTCCTATGGGATCCCAATTATTCTAATATTATTTCATCTTATGGTATTACTTATCTCTTGAATTCTACCCTCATGATCCAGTAGTTGGGTTTTTTTTTTAATCAGCTTCTTTATTCTCCATCATTGTCTTTTCTATATCACTAATTCTCTGTTCTGCCTCATTTATCCTAGCAGTTAGAACCTCCATTTTTTTTATTGTATCTCATTAATAGTCTTTTTTATTTCAACCTGATTGGATTTTAGTTCTTTTATTTCTCCAGAAAGGGATTCTCTAGTGTCTTCTGTGCCTTTTTCAAGCCCAGCTGTTCTCTTTATAATCATTATTCTAAATGCTAGTTCCAACATCTTACTTATGTCCATACTGATTAAGTCCCTGGCAATCAGTACTGCCTCTTGCTCTCTTTTTTGAGGTGAGTTTTTCTGTCTTGTCATCTGTCCAGAGAAGAATAGATGAAGTAGAGAACAAAATGCTAAAATGGCAACGACATCAGATAAATATACACTAAACATATCAGAAGAGACTCAAAACCAAACCAAAAAAAATTGAAAAGAGAGAGAATATGATCAGACAGGTCGACAGAACAGAGCAATATACTTGATCTTGTGTGTATTTTGGCCTGTTTGTTGGAAATCTAGATCTCAAAATTGTAAAGAAAGAAAAACTTACACATATACAAAAATAAAATTAAATACATTGAAAGGATAGAATATAACTGTAAAAATTAAAATTACAAGACCAAAAAAAAAAAAAAGGGAACATAAACAGACAGGTGAACAGAACAGAGGAATACACAATACCCTGAGTGTATTTTGGTTGGTTTGTTAGAATAAACTATACCTCAAAATTGTAAATAAAGAAAAATTTATATATACAAAAATAAAATTAAATACATTGAAAAGAGAGAATGTAACTATAAAGATGAAGATTTAAAATGATTTTTTTAATTTTTATTTATTTATGATAGTCACACAGAGAGAGAGAGAGGCAGAGACACAGGCAGAGGGAGAAGCAGGCTCCATGCACCGGGAGCCTGACGTGGGATTTGATCCCGGGTCTCCAGGATTGCGCCCTAGGCCAAAGGCAGGCGCTAAACCACTGCGCCACCCCGGGATCCCTTAAAATGATTTTTTAAAAGCCAATCAAATAAATTCATTGAAAAAGGAAAGAGAAAAAATTAAAATTGAAAAACTAAAGAATCATGGGGGAAAAAAAACCATGAATTCTATATACTATTTTCCCCTACCACTGGAATTCTGCAATTCTCTGTGATCAGTAAACTTGGTCTTAGCCAATGTTCTTGCTGGTCTCCTCAGGGAGGAGCCTGTTGCACTGATTCTCAGGTGTCTTTACCCCTAGCTGAATGACACCACCCTGCCAGGGGGCCAGGCTAAGCAATCTGCTCTGGATTGCTTTGTGTGGTTTTTGTTCTCTGAAGGCTTTCCATACTTCTTTAGGGGATGAGAAGAAAATGGCAGCCTCCCAATTTCTAGCCCCAGAACCAAGAGCTCAGTGCCCACTCCTCAATGTGTCCTCAAGGAAAAGCAATCATTCTCACCTCCTTGGTCTCCATCCATACTCCGTGCTCACCCAGTCTGTGACTGAGCATTTCTATCTCAGGCATGCAACCCATTTTGAGTCTCCAAACCCTGCAGACTCCTGCAGCACATACACAGTTCCTCCCAGGGGAGGAAGAGGTGGTGATCTCACTGTGGTTCTGCCACTTGCTGGGCCCTGCTCGGACAGCAACTGCCTGATCATGCTGTGGTTCATGGTTTAAGGCAACCCTGAGCTGAGAGGCCACTCCTGGGCACATTGACTGCAGCTAGCTTCCCCAGTCCAAGGTCTGGGAACTCTGTTGCACTCAGGTAACCCCCAGTCTTCCTGAGACCCCAAGGATCCTGAAACCACACTATCCCACCTAGGATTCCACCCCACTTAGCCACCTCAGTGCCTTTCAGGCCAGAATGTCCCTCACCAGAACAAACTTCTGTAAGTTCTGATTTTGTGGTCCACTGCTATATTAATTTCCAGTGCCAGCAGCTGGAGGCTCCCTTCCCCAAGATCTATCTTCCCATATGTCATCTTGATTCACTTCTCCACACCTCCTACCTTGCAGAAAGTGGCTGCTTTTCTATTGTAGAGTTGCAGCTATCCTTTTCTTAGATCTCCAGTTGAGTTTACAGGTGTTCTGAATGATCTGATAGCTATCTAGGTGAATTCCTGGGACCAATGAAGCTAAGGTCTGCTACTCCTCTACCATCTTGGACTTCTCCAACAACATTTTTATTTTTATTCACACTTGTAAACTTCAGCACAGGAGAGAGTTCATTTTAGCTGCTATTTCAAAAACTAAAAGATGGTCTGGCTTTTCATGGTTTTGTGAAAAACTATGTCTAAGACCTAGAGAGGTATTTAGAAAATCCATTGTAAATTCAAATACACTTGAAGTGACATTCTTTCATTTCAAGAGCTTTGTTATTCCCTACACTAGCCAGGCTTTGTGATTTTTCATAATCTTTTAAAAATAAATCTCACAAATCTTAATATGAATGATAAGAATGTGAATAATAAACAGAAGTTTATTATTTACACGGATAACAAAATGAATTGATAGGAAGAAGCAATAGTTCTTTATAACGTTTAATATTTTTTAATTTTAAAAATTTTAACTTACCTTTTTACCAGGAGAAGAGGGCTTAAAGGGGTGTGTAAGTAATTCTTTCTTCTCTGTTTTTTTAATTGGTGGTAAAGGATTCTCAAACAAATAAGGATTAGTATCAAAATATTCCCTTGGGTAAAGATTTAATTTGAAAGGTGTTCCTTTAACTAAACGATGGTGTTCTTCATTCTCCTTCTGTCAATCAGAGAATTTGAAATTATGTAACATAAATTATTCAAAGTAGAAGAATTCCCTAGGTCAATTAAGACTGAAGAAAGTTAAAATAAATTATTTTACCTTAAAATTAAGTTTGGGTGCATCGTAGAAATCAGCAGAGTGTGAAAACTGTTTACCTATGGTAACATTTGCATAGCTAAGGAAGGAAATTAAGTAATGGTGACTTTAGGATTCAGAAATTTTAAATTTTATTTTTTAAGTTTGAAACAAATGATATGAAAGTATGAAAAATATCTTACCCATACCCAGTTCCTTTCTTTCCTGGGTTTGTGTACAAATTCTTTCCAGGTGCCTCATATTTTTCTCTGGGTTTTGACTGTGCACTGAAGAATGGCACTGGACCACCTATTGTTCCATAGTAGCTTCCTAAACCACATCTTCAATTCAGTTTTTTAAAAAGGAAGCAAATTAATACAGCAAATTTTATGTTATTCACATTGGATCACAATTTATAAAAAAATCACTGAAAAGGTAACAAAATATATGCAATGGAATTGACTTGCCTAATATCACTAAGAAAAAAAAACATTTTTTTAGTTTCTAATCTAATTTCCCCATTTTCCAAAGTCACAAATCTTCAGATGAGATATTGTTTTTAATTTTTAATGCTTATTTTAAATGTTCCACATAAAATTACATAATCTCTAGGAAATGATAATAGTTTCCATTAATTCAAAAGATAGCAGTTTTACTAACCTCAAAAAGAAAAAAATAGCACAATTAAGCACAAAATTGGCCTTCAGGCAATCCTCATCTATCTTAAATTCTACAGTCAATATTATGTGTGCATATAAAGCTCAGCATTATATAGCTGAGCTTTATAAGATGATGTAGCCTACTATTTGATTTCCTTTGTTTAGTGGTTTAAAGGTAAGAAAAAAAAATGAACCTTCACATTGACAACTGTCACAACTTAAATATTGTTAAACTCCCTGCATGTATCTTCGCAATGATTTTGAAATAATATATCTTGATGAATTATCTTCTTTATCCAAAAAAGTCTTCTCCTAATTTTATAATTTTTATTTATACTTTTAAAAAGTTTTTACAAAGCCGATAAAACAGTAAAGGGCATAGATATGATGACCCAAGGTAGTATTTTCAAGGTTTTCAAACAAACTAGGTATTTGCATTACCTAGTTGGCTTTTATTATATAAACCAATAGAGAGTAATGGCATAATCATAAATTTAATGAGATGAGAATCAAAACTACTGATCAACCTATATCATCCAATATAACTGTCTCCACCTAAGACAAGTTCATCCTAAAACTTATATTTTAATAAATGAATCCTACTTAAGTCACCCAGAAAAACACCTAATTTGGGCTAGAGGAGAGAAAGGTGCAGAAGATGTATTTATGACTTTTCCCCCAAACACTTACGGCTTTTTTTCTCCACTACTAGGGAGGAAGGCTTTGCCTAGATTTTTTTTGGCTTCTTCCATCATATGCCGTCTCCTCACTTGATTCAGATTTACATAGCCTTCACCTTCAAATATCCTTACAAAATGGTGATCAAAATAACCTGCCTGGAGATTTGACATTTCTTTGGATCCCCCAGGTAGCATCTGTTTATTTTTGCTTGCAGCCTCATTAAAGGGTCCTTTAAAAATAAATTAAGAATATCATAATTTTGAGCTCACTAATAATTAAAGAACATGAAAAATAACCGAGAAAAGTTTCAAACTGTGATTGGAGCCGTGAGTTTTGAGCTCTAAAATGCTATCTCAAGATATTCACTGAAAGGTCTGTGTTGCATACTGCATTGACAATAAGACCTGGGCAGCCCGGGTGGCTCAGTGGTTTAGCGCTGCCATCAGCCCAGGGCCTGATCCTGGAGACCGGGGATCGAGTCCCATGTCACGCTCCCTGCATGGAGCCTGCTTCTCCCTCTGCCTGTGTCTCTGCCTCTCTCTCTCTCTCTCTCTCTCTCGTGTGTGTCTCTCATGAATAAATAAAAATCTTAAAAAAAAAAAAAAAAAGACCTAAGAGGTTTCCATTAATTCATTTTAATAATTAGGTCCTGGTTATAGACTCTGAATTTTAGAGCTGGAAGAGACCCTGAAAGTCATCTAATCCAATGCTTCCCCATCTATATACTAGAAAAACACTGTGTGAGTTATCAGTACGTGTGCGTGGGTGTGTGTATTCAGACCCAAGTGAAAGGTGTTCCATACTCAAACCGAGGTAATTCTCCTCCTGGATATATACACAACACACATGAGTGTCTATACTCACTAAAAGTCATGAACAAGAATTTTCATAGCAGTTTCATTCATAATATTCAAAAACAAGTAACAATTCAAATGTCCATCAGCAAGAGAACAGATAAATGTGATATATTTATACAATAAAATACTAGCAGCCCAGTAATTTTTTAAAAGGCTAGTTTTATAAGTATTTAGAACCTTTTATATAATTTAGATCTAGGAGAGCTCAATTTGGGAAGTCCAGCAATGTGAAATTTTTTTGAAGTAAAACAATCTTAAATCAGTTATTTGAATATGAATTTGTGAGGTGCCTGGGTAGCTCAGTCAGTTCAGCATCTGCCTTTACCTCAGGTCAAGATCCCAGGATCCTGGGAGGGAGTCCAGAGTCAGACTCACTGCTCAGCGGAGAGCCTGTTTCTCCCTCTCCCTTTGCCTGCCATTCCCCCTGCTTGTGCTCTCTAACAAATAAAATTGTTAAAAATAAACAAATAAATATAAATTTGTATCACTGATTTTGAACTTAAAGTTTTGAAAAGTTAATATATTCACATGGTTCCAAATAATTTTTTACATAAATTTTCAATAAATTTGAAATTTATTTTAAAATAAATTGAATTTATTTTACAATAAATTTTCCTCCCACATTCATCCATCCAGTTCCTCTCTTACAGGAAATCATGATATTTATTTTGTTTTCCAGAGAATGTTTAAACATGTCCCAATGAATACTTTCATATATATCCATTTCCATCATTAATGCTTAGCATAATATATAATAACTATTCTGCACCTCGATTTTTTTTACTTAACAATATACCTTGGAGATATTTAATGTCAGTGTATTCTCTCTTCTTATAACAAAGGAGTCATTGAATAGCCAAAACTTTAACCAAGATATTTAAAATGTTTAATGACTTTAGCTCTTTATGACTCTTCTAAAAATCCCTCAGCTATCACTTAGCATTTCATTTTTCAAGAAATTAATCATGGATGGCCTTTTGGGATGCAAATATAAACGGTGCTTGTGTAGCAGAGTGTCCCATCTGAGAAACCATCAGCTAAAAACAAAATATTCTGAGAGAACACTGCCATGCACCTTTGGAAAGAAGTAAAATTACCAATGACGAGAATATACAAAGGTAGGGTATCCCAGTGAAAGTAGCTTCCTGCTCATATAAAGTTCTCTTTCTTGAAATTTTATAAGTTTCTTCAACTTTAAACTTAACACTTTAAAATACAATGCATTAAAAAAATATCACTTAACCTGAATATTAAATCCAAAATTTTCTATAGAAAAAATCCACTATTAGGCTTTTGTAAAGAAAACCAGACGTACTTACGGTTAAATGATGACAAGTATTTATCACCAACAGTAACATATTCCATCTCACTGAAGAGGCCAATCCTCTCCATGTCAGTTTTCCCTCCTTCTGCAGGCATGGTTGCTTCTTGTGGTGGTTTTCTCTATATTGATAACTTCAAAAGGTTCCTTATGGCTATTTCTTTTATAGCAAAATCCTACTTTATGTTGAAAAATACAGAAAAAAAGGTTTAGAAAAAAGGTGATTATTAAATTTCAGTCCAAATTACTTTCAGCCTCAGAGTTAGCATTCACTATAAAACAATGGTCCCAAACTATGTGGGGAAAGAATCTACTTTGTGGGGCCAGGTGAAGTGTCCGCAAATTACAAAGGAATGTGTATGACATCTATTACATTGCCATTCACCTATTGTAAATGATAAAATTGTTACTGTATAGTGCAGAATAAATACTGTATAAACAAACATCTTTCTTTTGAGAAGTTCAAAGTGGGTTTAAACATAATAATTACATAAGGTGGAGGGGCACTTCCAGTTGAGATCAGATGACCTAAACATACTGCATTGTCTCTCCTACTGGAAATTACAACAGTGTTTCAGAATGCACCACACATATAATTGTTATTATCCTATAGTTCTTGAGTTTTTTCAAGTTTAAATGAATACAAGAGATGTGTCACTGGCAAAATTAGTTCACTAAGGGGATGGACGAGAAAGGACAATTGTCTAGGCAAGATAAAAAAATAAAGAACAACAAAAACAATAATCCACAATGAATTAAGAGTGTTCAAGGGCAAACTCCAATTGTCAATTTTCTTTTGATATATCACATTAAACATTCAGCTATTTATTTACTTCTGTTGTTGGACATGTTCTGGAGGGGCCCCTGAGTGGCTGAGCCATTAATCATCTGCCTCTAACTCAGGTCATGATCCCAGGATCCTAGGATCAAGCCCCAGGTCAAGCTCTCTACTCAACGGGAAGTTTGCTTCTCTCTCTGACCACCCCCCTCCTGCTCTGCTCTCTCTTGCTATCTCTCTCTCAAATAAATAAATACATTATTTTTTAAAATATTGTATTTATTTGAGAGACAGAGAGAGAGAGGCAGAGACACAGGCAGAGGGAGAAGCAGGCCCCATGCAGGGAGCCTGATGTGGGACTCGATCCGGGTCTCCAGGATCACGCCGTGGGCTGAAGGCAGGCACAAAACCACTGAGCCACCCAGGTTGCCCAATAAAATCTTTAAAAGCAAACAAACAAACAACAACATGTTCTAGAAAAGAAGACCATAGAGCTAAAGAATATCTGCTTCTATTTCATCACTACAGTAATGAAATATTATATGTATATTATAGGAATAAAGTGGGGGGAATCGAACTCAGGACCCTAAGATCAAGACTGGGAAGCTTAACCAATTGAGCCACTCAAGCACCCCCACAGTTTTTTTTAAGTACCAACTAGATCCAAGCACTGGGCACACATTATTGAATAAAACAAACATTGGTTTATGCTCCCCAGTTTATAATCCAAGGTAAGAACCTTTTGCCTTGAATTTCAGTGACATTAAACACGCTTGCCTATTTGGAACTGTGGCTCATCTGAGCATCAATCATTGCTAATGTGTAATATCAAAGGAGCAAGTGAAGATTCCCTTTAAACTAAAGCATAGGGACGCCTGGGTGGCTCAGCGGTTGAGCGTCTGCCTTCAACTCAGGGCATGATCCTGGAGTCCCGGGATCGAGTCCCACCTCAGGCTCTTTGCAGGAAGCCTGCTTCTCCCTCTGCCTGTGTCTCTGCCTCTCTCTGTGTTTCTCATGAATAAATAAAATCTTTAAAAAAAAATAAACTAAAACATAAGAAGATCTTCTCATTTTTTTTCCCATTCCACTTCTTCCTCTGATCGAGTCTGTTTTAAAGCAAATGTTAGTTAGCTGGGGATGCACTACTTTCATTTGCAGCTTGTTTCAAAGCTCCATCCCGTTGCCCAACCACAAGGGCTTCCTGTGCTGTTCCAAGGGCTGCAATTCTTTACATGGTTCACAAGGTCTGCCGGCACCCACATTTGTCACCATGGGAACCACACTCCCCGGCACCTGGGCTCCATTTGTCTTCTTTCAGTTCTCAAATCAGGCTCTCTCCAGCCACAGGACCTGTTTTACTTCATGCGAGTGCTTCACTGTGCTGAAGTTTAGTTCCCCCAATTAACACCGATCCTTTGGATTGTGTAGCCCCCTCATCACTTCTTTAACTCCCTCATATCATGTACTTCTCTTTGCACGCCCTGGCCATGGTTTATCTAATGGGTTATCAGTTCACATGCAATGCGTGGGAATCCTTTAATTAACAGCTGCCCCCCCCCCGCCGCCTCCCATAAACTGCTGGCTCCACGAAGGCAGGAACTGGGATGAGTCTGGTTCTTCCTCACCACGGTATTTCCACGGTCTGCGCAGCGCCTGGCACACAACAAAGCGAGCCACCCCCTGCGGGGGGAGGAAAAGAAGAAGAAGTTCCCGCCTTGAATTTTCCCACCACTTAGCTCATCTGGAGCAACACACTACAGAAGCGTTCGTTCATTTTACAGACACTTTGCAAACCCCTCCTCGGGGGTCAAGCTCGCAGACAGAAGCTAGGATGTTTATCTCTAAAGGGCACGGGTCCTGGCCCCGGGGAGCTTACAATCTCATCAGGCGGGTATGCAATTCAAGGTAACGCAAGTGCAAGTTGGCAAGTCTGTGCTTAAAGCGCTGAGCGGGCGGCGGCGGTGCAGACCGGGCGGAAAACTGGCTGAGCTGCCAGGAAAAGGATTTCGCATTAAGGAGACGGGCTCGGGGTGGGTGGGTATCGGATAGGACAGCACCCTGCGGCCCCGGGGACCAAGTCACCTCTCAGAAGGGGACCCGGTCCGACAGGCGAGCCCGGGTCGTCAGAGCTCGGGTCCGGGTTCACGCAGCAGGCAGCAGCAGCAGCAGCAGAGCAGGAGCGACAGGGGCCGCGGGGACAGCGAGGCCACCTCGCCGCGGGGCCACCTCGCCGCGGAGCGCCCTCCGCACGCCCCGCGCACAGCGGGCGCTGACCGTGGCCGCAGGTGCCGACCGTGGCGCGTCGCCTCGGGTACGGGGCCGCGGAGGGAGTTCCAAGCCGCGGCGAGGCACACACGGAAAAGCTTTGGCAGCGGAACTCGAACGACTCCGCCAATAGAGTTTACTGAACAAAGGCTTCGGCTCCCCGCCCCGTTATCCGTCCGCGAGGAGGTGTGGCAAGATTCGTCCCTCGACGTTCCGCGGGGCATGTCGGGAGTTGTAGTCCGCCGTCCCAGGCTCCGCCCCTCGTAACGCCACTTCCGGGCCAGCGCGCTGAGCCCTTGGGCTGACGTCGGCGCCCCCTTCATCACCGCCACGGAGCCCCGGTGGTGAGTACCTGTGCTCTCCAGCGACCCCCGCGCTCCCCCTCGGACTTTGGTAGCAGCGGTGGGGCCAAGCCCTTGGAAGGAGCTGGCGCTGGCGGGGCCCGCGGTGGTCTGGGCCGGCTTCCTCTCGGTCGGCCCCAAACAGGCTGGACTAAATGTCCCGACTCAGCGGGAAGGGGGGCGGGGGGGGGGGTGACCCGGGCGGCCCGCGCGGCCCGCGCCTCCTCCTCCTCAAAAGCACTTCGAGAGCCAGGTGCTATTTGGATTCCTCAACGGTTTGAAGAAGTGTCAGCCCGGTTCTCCTCCTAATTGCTCAGCCGGGGCCCTCCAAGCCCTATGGCGGAGGTAGTGTCCTTCAGGGATGCTTTTCTTTGCACCCTGCGCTTCCTCCCAAATTCACGTCTCCAGCTTTTAAAGCTGTGTTGCGAGCTCTAGGTCTGTTCCCACTAATTGCACCTTCACTTTGGAGAACTCGTATGTATTTCAAACTCAGCAGGTTCAAAACTGACTCCCTGTTTCCCGCCTCTCCCTGCCCCCCCTCATCCCACACACCCGCTCTTCCTCCAGTGAGCCCCATTTTTCGTGACTCCACCGTGTTGTGCAGACCGAAACCCTCGAAATCATCCTTGGCTATTCCTCTTCTCGACTTCTGAAGAGCTGAGCGATAATCAGCCCCTGTGCATTCTGTTCACTGCGTGGCCGGCAATGGTCACTGACTCTGCCCCTGCCATCCCCGTCCTTGCCGCATCAGATCCGAGCATCTGCGGGGGGCGGGGGGGGTGTCTCTGAAGCATCCTTAGCATCCTTTACAGCAGATCTTCCCCGAATCTGTGCCCCTTAGTAGAACAAGTTCTCCATCACCGCCCCCCCCCCGTCTTCCCTTTGCAATTGTTAATACCCTTCACATCTCAGTTTAAATTTTATTTCGATCTTGGGCAGCCCGGGTAGCTCAGCGGTTTAGCACCTGCCTTGGGCCCAGGGCCTGATCCTGGAGACCCGGGATCGAGTCCCATGTCGGGCTCCCTGCATGGAGCCTGCTTCTCCCTCTCCGCCCGCCCCCCCCCCCGTGTCTCTCATTAATAAATAAATAAAAAACCTTGGGGATAAAAACATTTAAATTTTATTTCGATCTTTTGTGGGAATCTTCACATTTCTGTGAAATAGTGGATTTTTGCCATTTTACAGAAGAGTACAAAGGTGATCAGTTCCGTTGTGCAAAATCATACACAGTTACATTTGCTCCTGCCTGTCTTTTTTAACTTTTGTCGTCGTCTTCAGTATTTTTCATGGTCATTAAAATTTTTTTGCTCCAGACAACCTGGGCGGCTCATTGGATGAGCATCTGCCTTAGGCCCAGGGCCTGATGCCGGGGTCCTGGGATCCAGTCCCTCACCCGCCTCCCCGAGGGAGTCTGCTTCTCCCTCTGCTCTCTCTGTGTCTCTCATGAATAAATAAATTTTAAAAACTATTTTTTGCTAAAATGGCTGCCTAATATTTGTATGGTAGTATTGTTCTTTATTTAACCAACTTCTTATTGATTAACTATTATTTAGGGGGTTCCTTTTTTTTTTTTTTTTTTTGCTATGATGAACAACAGTGGACAACATTGAAGTTAATATTTTACGGAACTTTGATTATTTCCTCAGAACAAATATACAGAAATAGAATTGAGGCAAAGGGTATGACCTTTCAACAGGTTAGAATTTCTGGAATAAATAAAAGCAATCATCCTTTAAAAAATGTGGCAGGAGGCACCTGGGTGGCTCACTTGGTTAAGCATCCAACCTTGATTTCAGCTCAAGTCATGATCTTAGGGTTGTGAGATCAAGCATGGAGCCTGGTTAGGATTCTCTCCCTCTCCCTCTGCTCTTTCCCTCCCTCTAGTGTCTGTCTGTCTGTCTCTCTCTGAAAAAAAGAAAAGTGACAAGGGTATTGAAAAGAGAAAAATAGTAATGGTACCTACTTCATGATGTTCTGAGGCAGAGGGAGAAACAGGCTCCACATAGGGAACCTGGCATGGGACTCGATCCCAGGTCTCCAGGATCATGCCCTGGACTGAAGGCGGCACTAAACCACTGAGCTACCCGGGCTGCCCCTGTTCTGAGGATTTTTAATAAATGTCCAATCCCTTATCAAGGTACCTTTTACATTTTATGAGATCAGTAATTGTTAGTACTTATTCACTTACTTCAAAATAGGATTCTTACTGTGTAGTGTGGTTCTTCAGCCTGATTGAGACCTATTTTTAGTATCTGATAAAGTCTTGAAACCTCTTAGATGTTCCCTTCCTCTCTCTTTCCCCCCTCAACAAAATGATTCCTGTCATTTGCCATGTCATCAACTACTTGAAATTCAACATATAAACCCGCATTAACAACTACTAAGAGATTCCATTTTACAAGGGCTTTTCCCCTTTATAAGTTGCAAGCATTTTCCTCTGCCATTAAGTATTCTTCTAAAGCATATGTGTTTTTCATAGCTGCATAATATTCATAATTGTTTTACTAATATCCTGTTGCTGACATTTAGTTTAACATCCTTTCACCTGGATCTTTGTTAGCTTCACAGATTTCCTCAGACTCCATTTCTAAATACAGAATCACTAAGCCAAGAATGTGAATATAAGACTTCTGAGTCTTATGGCCATAATTGCCCTGTGACCACTTCTACAGTTCATATTCCCATCATTAGTTTCCTCTCATTGTCTTGACCATCAGTGTCATCCTATTAGATTCAATGTTCTTGTCCCATTCTAAAACTAGTTCTTTACCATTGATGTTTTCCTGTCATTCTTAAACACATTACTAAGATTGTAACAAAATTTGTTTAGAATCTTTGGTCCTCAGCCTTTTCACATTAGAATCACTGGCATAGGGAAGCTTTGAGATATCTCTATGCCTGGACTCTCCCCAGATCAATTGATCAGAATCCCTAAAGCAGGATATGTAAGAATACTTTTACACTTACAGCCCAAGTGTAAGTAATTTTAAGCTCCTCGGGTGATTTCAATGAGGAACAAAGATTGAGAACCCCTGATTTTGAATTTAGGGTGTTTTATTTTTCTGCATAAAACAAAATCAACTCGTGAAATAATTTTTAGAATCAGAATTAACTAATGCCTTAACCCAAACTCAGGTAGAGTCTCATTTGTATGAGGATAAATTTATTTTGTTTTACAAAGGAATTTTGATTCTGTTTGTCTCTGTAATTTCAGAGGCTATGGATATACTCTTCAGAATAAGAGGAGGCCTTGATCTAGCTTTTCAGCTAGCTACTGCTAATGGTAGGTCTGACCAGAAAACTCTCCTTTTTTATTTTAAAGTTGATGATGAAATATACTGGGAACTTTTTCATTTTGCAAATGAAACTGAGTGAGAGATAGGATAAATAAATGAAAATCATAGTTAGTAAGCTCTAGAAATTGGATTTAAACTTAGGCACTGTGTTCCAGCACCACCACTAGCCTGTGAGGCTCCTCTGTACAAATTAGAAAAAGATGTCCCCTTTCTTAAAAAAAAACTTTACTGCCCACTGGCAGAAAATTGTCAGAATATATATAAATATCCACACTGAGCACAATGTAAATGAGGCATGCAGATTTGTACATTGCACACTTGCACCTATACAAAATTCTGAGTCCCCAGAACCCACACTGTTGGAAGTTATGTTGTTTTAGAATGATATATGAATTCTATGGGAGAAATATCAGCAGAGTTTGTATAAAGCAGACTCTAGGATGTCTTCCTCTTTCTGACTTGGGCTAAGGCCACAAACAGAAGTAAAGAATATCAGAGGAGGAAGATGAGGAACTGTGTTTGAAGGTGTTTCATTTGAGATGCCAGAGTATATCAAGTGCAGATTCCCAGCAGGCATCGGGTAACTTGAATCTGAAACTTAGGGGAGTGTGGTCAGGCCTAGAAAGAGAATATCTCTGAGGGATGATCATTAACACTGTGATAATAAAATCACTCCTGAAAAGTATGATCAGTGGTGTCAGAAACCACAGAGAAGTTCAGAAGGATAAGGAATGAAAAGTGCCAGTTCCACTAGCTGATCATCATTTCCTGGCCCCATGGAAATAGGAAAGGAAAGAATATAGAATGTTCTTTCTGACTCATCCCTTCATGCTAAATAACTTGTTCTCAGTCTTGGTGCATTCTAGTCCCCACTCCTGATGAATGTAAGTATATCTCTGGGACAGAGACCCAGGCATCAGTAAGCTTTCTGGCTGTTTGTAATGTGCCATCAAGATGAGAACCAACTTACAAAGACTAAATCAAACTCATTTTCAAGTCCATCTTGTCAGTAAAGTGTAGTTGTTCACTAATGTGTTACTTGTGTGGTTAATGCCTTATATTTCCCAACTTCATATAAATTGAAGATATACTTTATTATGTATGACCTTATTGCAAAGTATAATTAATCCATTAGTAGATATAATAATGTAATTTCAAATGTAAGCAAGACCTACAATTCTTTCTACCAAGTAATTAATTTATATGAGTTTGTCTTCCGACTTGATTATATTCCTCCTACAACATTAAACTCTTTCAAACACTCAATGAAGGGAATCATTAATGAAAAAATATAGAGAAAGGAGGTGCTTAACTTTAAAGACATCACAATTTTTTTAGATTACTTTACCTCTTGGTTCTTCAAGGATATACAGAAGATAATCCAGGAATTATGTTTGTCTTTTTGTAGTGCAGCTAAGAATCTTTAAATTTGGCTTCTAAAACATACCAAGATGTCTTAAAATCTAACCTGTTATAAGTATTCTTTTCTCTACCACAACCCTGAGGTATTTATTTATCAAGATTTCAAAGTGATAGTTAAATAAATATTTTAACCACAAGGTTAAATAGGTTTAAGATTTAAAAATATAAAGCTAAAATAAATATATATGTATTGTCTCTTCTTGAGCCATGAAAATGTTTTACATATTCCAAAAATTGCAGTAAATTAAAAGGAAATCCCCGAAAATGAAGTCAAACAAGTGTCAGGTTAATGACACATTACCCAAAAAAAAAACTATGACTTTAGAATAAAGTACTTTGGTTGTACAGTCTTAGTGGGATGTAGTCCAAAGAGAAAAACAACACCAAAAAGATTTAAATTTCATTCAACAGTTTTACTGCTCTAAGTTATATGGTATTTTGAAAGTAATTGGTGTCCTCATACATTGCTGGTGTGAATATAAAATGGCACAGCTCCTTTGGAAAACAGTTTGGCAGTTCCTCAAAAGGTTAAACATAGAGTTACCCTGTGACCCAGCAATTCTACTCCTAAGTGATCACCTAAAAGACTTGAAAGCAAATATGCACACAGTAACTTGCACACAAATGTTCATAGCATTGTTCATGATAACCAGAAAGCAAAGAAACAATGCATGTGTATATCAGCTTATAAATGGATAAACAAAGTGTTTTGTATCCATTCAAAAGAGTATCATTCAGCCATAAAAAGAAATGAAGCACTGATTTATGCGACAATATGAATGAATCTTGAAAGTATTATACAGAGTGAAAGGTAGACTGAAAGGACACATACTGTGTAATTACATTTATAGGAAGTGTCCAGAATAGACAAATCTGTAGAGACAGACAGTATATTAGTGGTTGCTGTGGGTAAGTGTCGGAGGAATGGGGAGTGAGTGCTGATAAGTGTCAGGTTCTTCTGAGTTGATGACTGTTCTGAAATTAGATAATCATGATTGTAAAACCTTGTCAATATGCTAAAAGCAACTGAATTGTATACGTTAAAAGGATGAATTTTATGGTCTGTGAATTTTATCTCAGTTTTTTAAAAAGAAAGGCAAAATGTTTTTTTCATATGATTGAATCCAGAGACTAGTTCACTGGGAGTCAATTTTACTATGTTCTACTTTCATGTGTTTGGAACCATTCATGTTGAAAAGTTTAAAATTTTTCATATTAACTTCTATTTATATTTTTATAATTTAGAAATATTTATCAAGAAAGCACTAAAACATGTGCTGAGTGACCTGTCAACCAAGCTTTCTTCAAATGCCCTTGTGTTCAAAATCTGCCACAGTTCAGTGTACATATGGCCAAACAGTGATATTAACACCATCCCAGGAGAATTGGCTGATAGTTCTCCTTGTAAGAGCATAATGCGCTTTATTCAGTGAGTATGTTTGAAAATTGCTAGAAATGTTTTCAAAATGTCATTTCTTACTGTAAACATCTTTGTCGGGCAGCCCGGGTGGCTCAGCGGTTTAGTGCTGCCTTCAGCCCAGGGTGTGATCCTGGAAACCCGGGATCGAGTCCTATGTTGGGCTTCCTGCATGGAGCTAGCTTCTCCCTCTGCCTGCTTCTCCCTCTGCCTGTGTCTCTGCCCCCCTCTCTCTCATGAATAAGTAAATAAAATCTTTTAAAAAAAATAAACATCTTTGTGTATTAAACGTTTAGCTTTGAACAGGAAGAAGACACAAAACGAAAATTTATGAGAAAGAAAGACAGAAAGGTACCAGACATGGTAAGCAAGTCACCTGTCTTCTTGGTATTAAAAATATATAATCCTTTAATTTGAACTGGAGTGATAACTGAGCGATTATATAATGCAGCTCCCTTATTTTTTACAGATCAGATTATTGAGGTCCAGAAAATGACTAATCAGAGGTTCTATCTCTGTTGTACTCGTCTAAGCTTTTGTTCCATATTAATATGTATCTCAGTACATACCTTTTTGGGGATGCTTTCTTTGCTCCCACAAAAATACACAGCTCGAGAATGTTTACAAATTACTTAAAATAAATAAAAAGGAATCATCCTGAAACATGACAGTGACACATTATGCTGTGAGAGAGTAAATAATACAGAATTTACTTTTCTTCACATTGTTCTTAGATCTGCTTTTTAACCAGTTATTGAGGACCTGCCAGATGCTACAAACTTGGCAGATCCTGGAGGTAAAAAATGGAGCTACTTCAAAGGAGGAAGTTGTATGAAGTTAATATGACTACAGTGCTTTTTTAGACTGTTATGGGGAAATAGGCTGGACATGATGTTAGAGACGTAGGTGGGGGCCTCTTCAGAAGAAGCGGAACTAAGCCAGTAGCTATGGTCATGAAGAGGAGGGAAGGGATACAAGAGATATTTAGGGGATAAAATGGATGATACTTGGAAATGAACTGGATAGGGGAATGACCATTTTCTTGCTCTGGTAAAGATGATGGGGAAAGCATGAGGTCAGTTTCCATCATGAGACATCCACATGACCTGTTAGATTTACAAATATGGAACGTACGAAAAAACACATGGGCTGTACATCAAATGATTTCATAATTACCAGTAGTTGGAGCTTGACATTTTGAAGAATACAGGTCAGTTATCTTGTAGGATGTTCCTCAGTTGGAGTTTGTTTTAGGTTTCCTCATCATTAATTCAGGTAGTACTCTATTGGTAGGAATAAGAAGTAATATCCTGTCCTCTTCAGCACATGATATTAAAGAGGTGTGTGCTATCAGTCTGCTCCTAGTAGTCGTCATGTTAACTCTGATCTCTTAACATTGTGTCTACTGGTTTCCTTCTCTGTGAGGGCACTATTTTTTTCCCTTGTAAGTAGTATCTCGTGGTAAGATACTTTGAGCTATATATGTGTGTGTGTATATATATATATCCTATTCCTCACCAAAGTTTTACCCACCACTTCCAGTATCAACTGATCATTTTTGCCTGAGTCCAACATTAACCTGATGATTACAAAGTGGTGATTTTTCTGTCATTTCCTTCTACATTTATTAGATGACATTACACCATAAAGAAGAGTTGTTGTTCCCTATTTATTATAGGCATGGAAGCATGGGTTTCTATTTTATGCAATGAGTTACAATCTGTTACTCTTACTGGTTATTTGGATGCTCACATTTTCCAAGATTTAGCCAATGAAAGCTTCTTCAAGCTGGCTCCAATGTCCTTCTGATGCTATTTTTGAGTACTTCCTACTTTCTTCCATAAGATGTTCTAGGCACATCATGTACTGTCCATGTTCCAGCTCAGGAATCAGCCATTTCTCCCAGGAGCATGCACATGTATACATACATACCATATGTATATTCATACACACACACACACAGTACATTCCTATTTATTTATCTAAATTATATTTCCAATTCTACTTCTCCCTCACACAATTCATAACTTTTTGCCAGTGAGAAACATGGCTTCCAGTATTCTCAATGTTTTGCCAGATTTGTTCAAAATAGAAAGTATTTTCTGAGTGGTTACTCCGTACCACTGCAAAATCAAACCTACTAATGGTGTTCAGTGTATGTTTATAGTTCTCTGTCTTTAGACCATGGGTTTGTAATTCTAATGTATTTTCTAAAGTTCCTTTGGTTTGTGGTTATTGTATCTTGTTTTTGATTTTTTTTAAGTCTGTACAAAAGCAGAATAATATATGAATCCTGGTGAACTTATACCAGTTTTAATGTTTATCAACACACACATGCTCTCTCTCTCTCACAGCACACACACACACACACACACACACACACACACAAATGTTTAAAAGTATATTTATCAACACATGGTCAATCTGACTTCATCTTCATCCTCACTTACCCTCTGCCCCTCCTCAGATTATTTTGAAGCAGAGAAGAGTTTTTTTTTTTAAGATTTGTATTTTTTTTAAGATTTGTATTTTTAAGCAATTTACTGTAATACAGCTTTCTGTGGCCCTTAAAAAGTCCTTTTACTCGCCTTTTATATTTAATGTTCAATGTGCTAAAAGTTGACTATTACTGTTTATCTTTATAGCACCAAATAGTAAATATAGATCTTATGCTGGAAATGTCAACCTCTCTGGGAGCTGTAACCCCCATCATTGAAAGAGAAAGTGGAGGACACCACTATGTTAGTATGACTTTACCTGTTGACGTAGTTCTATCTGTTGCTCCAGAAGAAACATGGGGAAAGTAAGTGTTTTGTTCTTCTACTGGCACATTTAAATAAGCACTCCTCCCCAGAGTATTCAGAGCCCATTTTTAAATATCATGTAGGCATATCCAGGATTGTTGTTATTTTTACTATGATTTATTCCTTGTTTGTTATTAAACTGAGTCATCTAGTAATTAAATGTTTATTTGGAGGAAGTAGAGTAGTATACAAACCTATAGGGTTTTCCCTTTAGCTACACAGAGAAAATACACAGTTTACTTAACTTTGCATAATTTAATAATCCTGGTCTAATCAAGTTTTTTACTGTATTTGGGTTATCTTAACTCTCCACTCTCATTTATCATGGCCACTATAACTTGTGTTAATTCACTCAAATATTTCCCTTCACAGAGTTCGTAAACTTCTAGTTGATGCAATTCATAACCAACTAAGGGATATGGAAAAGTGCCTTTTGAAACATATGAAAGGAACATCTATTGTGGTTCCTGAACCACTGCACTTTCTATTGCCAGGGGAAAACAATCTTGTAACAATTTCATATCCATCAGGAATTCCAGATGGTCAGCTGCAGGCTTATAGAAAGGTAAAACCAATACATTTATTCTTAGAAAACCTATGACCATCATTCATTTTCTATTAAACATTTCTAATAAATGGAAATTTCTTTTGTGATTTAATATGAAAGTAGAATCAGACTACTATTTTTACATGTTACTTAATTTGTGTTGATATGTAACTTTTTAAAAAGTATATTAATGAAAAAATATGCTAAGCCATATGTAACATTTTGATTTCAGACATTCAGTGTAGTTCATATGTTCTGTGAAATTTTTCCATAATGAAATACCAAAATGAAAAGATGCTTACATGCCTGGAGCTGCTGCTGAGTGTTTATAAATAAATTCCTTTTCCCTTCTGTTACTTTCAGATTTGTGAAAGAGACAAGATTACAGTTAGAGAAGGAAAGTTAGGATTTATAGCTAATTCTGTCAGACTTATAATAATACTTCATCCCCCACCTTCCAGTATTATTTGGGTTTTATTAGAGACATTTTGAAAGAAGAATGGTCAACATTCAAAGAACTGAGATTTATTAATGAAATGACTGATATTGGAGTACATATCTTTTATGTATGGTCTTGCCTGGCACCCATCAAATTATACCATGGGAGCGTCTTGCTCATCTGTCCCTGGGAGGAGGTGGAGTACTGTATCCTTCAGCATCGTCTGTTAGTGCTGGTAGAATTGACCTACAAAGGCACCAGATGGTCCCATTCCAACTGAGAGAGGACTTAGGAGATACGAAAAAGAAAATGTCAGGCTTTACAAAGGAACGGTCATGTTTTTATATAGTTGGGAAAATTTTACACGTTTTAAACGTGTATGTGCATTTTAATTTTGATGCCATATTTTTGGTTTCCTACCACCAATTTCTCCTCCTAATTTAATCCCCACCACTTGTATTTGTTAAGTACTCTAATCATGACTTTTCAAAATACTGTCATGCAATTCTGTCATTGTTAATTATATTTTACTCATTCACAAGGCTGTTTCAAAACCAGTCTTTAGCCTGAATGTCTTTTAACAGACTGTGTTATAGTAAATAATTAATTTGAAATCATGTTATTTTTCACTCGGACAAATTACAGTCAACCCTTGAATAATACAGGTTTGAACTGCAAGAGTCCACTCATTCACAGATTACTTTCAATAAATACAGTACAGCACTGTAAATGTATTTTCCCTTCCTTATAATTTTCTTAATAACATCTTCTTTTCTGTAGCTTGCTTTATTATAAGAATACAATATATAATATATATGACGACAAAATATGTATTAATCATTAACGTGTATGTTATCAGAAGGCTTCCAGTCAACACTAGGCTATTCATCTTTTGAGGAGTCAAAAGCTAAATGTAGATTTTCGACAGTGTGAGGGGTCAGTGCTTCTGTTCCCTGCATTGTTGAAGGCTCACTGCATTTTCATTTTTCCTGTGTTCCCTTCCAGTTTCTACCCATATCCGTGGAAAAACATTTATAACTCTCATTTGGCTTTAGTTTAAATCTCACCCTCTTTGACCTTAGTGAATTATAAGTGTTTGACAACTTTTATACCAATATATAGGTACCTTTTTTATATATCTTTAGTTTGAGTTTGTTTACTGACGAGCGAGGAATCTAAATTTAACTTTTTCCTCTTCTATTGATTCTGATTTCATTTAGGAGTTACATGACCTCTTCAATCTGCCTCATGACAGACCGTATTTCAGAAGATCTAATGCCTATCACTTTCCAGATGAACCATACAAAGATGGTTACATTAGAAATCCACATACTTATCTCAATCCACCTAACATAGAGACTGGTATGGTGAGTTTAATAATTATTTATGGAGTCAACTGATCATCAATGTCAGTGGTATTTTTGTTTGTATCCAGTGGAAGTTTTAAGGATCGATTCAGAATGTATGTCGTCTCTAAAACAAAATTTACCATTCGTTTCTTTTAATAATCATTGCCTAAAATAGCAGTATTCACAATAGTCTAAAAAGATAGGGAATAGATAGTATGTACCACATTTTTCCTACTAAAATCCCATTCCCTAATTTATTTAAAGGCTTATCCCCATTTATTTTCATTCTGATCCTGAGAAATCACACTAACTGAAGAGCATTTTCTCCCCAAAGCATGTTACTGCACAGCAAGTACCCAGGTGCAAGTGGTGAATCCTCACTAACGGTAGCTCAAACAAGAGTGGATTGGCGGAGCGTGGGGAGGGGTTCTTTAAGGGCATCTCTAGAACAGGAAGAAAGGATCTGCTAGGCATTCAAGAACAGGAATACTTGCTCAGCCAGCCTCTTAGAGCAGAGCAGCCCTGTAACTGGCAGCCTCCTGTCTCAGGTCTCCACTGACTCTTTGGTGACATTTCTGCTGCTTTCCAGGGGAATGCTTTGATCCTGACTGGCTTGCTTTTACTCTGTGTTTTCTCAGCCTGTTTACTCATTGTTTCCAACTGTTTCTTACCACCCTCAAAGCTGCTCACTGCCCATATCACTTCAGCTTCATTCCCACCCCATACTGCCTGATTCACTGTACCTCTCAACTTCCATTCCCAAGAGGAATTGTCTGTTACATCGTGGCATTTATTCAGTATCTGCTGAGTCTCTATGTGCTTTGTAAGGAAATCTTAAGAATAAAAAATGAATATATGATACCATGTCTACCTAGAGGACTTAGGGGCTCACTTCTAGTCCTGGCCATCAGAGTGCACTGAGGACAGCACCTGTATCTGCAAGAGCTGTGGACAGACCAGCTTCCCACGGAGAGACTCAGGCTGGGCACTTACCATTACATCCGGACAGAGGAGTCTCTAGTCAGCATGTCAATGATACTAAATCCTTTCATATATTTTGCTTATGCAGGAGGAAATCCTGGGAGACCTCTTCCTGGTTAAAAATCTTGCTCTGTCACAGTCCTAGAGTCACAGAATACGCAATGCAAAATGTAGAGTCTCTAGCAACATAACTCTTGATGGCTTTCTAGTAGATGATTGCATAGATGTCTTCTCTCAGACTGTATTTGGAACTCCTCTAGATAGGGTAGGTGTATTTATGTAGGTATGTGTATATGTATTTTTACTAATTTCTGACTCTTTTGCCGACTGGCAGAAACAATTTTTATATGATACAATTTTTATATGAATCTGAAATTCATTGAGACATGGGCATTTCCTGTGAATGCTATAGAAACCAAAAATGTGGTATTTAAAATGACAAAAATGTATTCTCTCAGTTATGGAGGCCACAAGTCTGAAATCTCTATCAGTAGGCTGAAACCAAGGTGTTAGGGGGGGCCACACTCCCTCCAAAGGCTTTGGGGAGAATCCATCCCTTGCCTCTTCCAGCATCTGGTAGCTGCCAGTGCTCCTTGGGTGCATCACTCCCATCAGCCTCTGTGGTCACTTTGCCTCCTCTTCTCCTGTGTCAGATTTCCCTTTCTCCTCCCTCACAAGGATACTTTGTGGTTGCATTTCAGGCCCACCTTGGATAGTCCAGGAAAATTCCCCATATGTTAAGATCTTTAACCACATCTGCAAAGGAATCCCTCCCACCCTTTTTTTTTTTTTTTTGCCTTTTGATCAGATAAGGTAGACTTCACAGGTAGACTTTTGATCAGATTAGGAGATAGATACCATTTGGGGACCATTTTTCAGCCTACCACAATGTTCTAGTTATAAATTTTCTGTGTGTGCTTGAGAATATATTGTCTGATTGTTGGGTAAGGATTCTATATCTGTCCATGCCTCCTCTTACCTAATTTTTTAAAAAAATAATACCAGTTTGTGGGAAAAACATTTTAAAAACATATTCTTAACTTTATACTACAAGAAAGAAGTTTTATGACCTTGGCCTTTATTTAAGGATATTTAAATAGCATTCCTGGGCTGTAATCAATGGCAGAGTTACAAAATTGGAGAAATATTCTTCATATATCCCATCATATGGCCCCTTTGTTCATTCTTTTATTCCTTCCTCCTTTCATCATTTATTCAACAAACGTTTATTATCTATTGACCATTTGCCAGACCCACTGTAGAAGCTTGGGCCCAGAAATAAATAAGATAGTATTTGCTCTTATTAAACTCACATATTAGTGTGGTTAAGCAGAGATTTAAACAGTAGTAAGTGTCAAGTGGTGCTCTGAAAAATAAATAAAGCAGGATAGAATGACAACCAGAGCAGGAGATGGGTGGTGAGGGGGTAAGTGTGCCATTTTTAGGCTGGGTGATCACAGAAGGTTGAGCAGAGACCTGAGTGAAGTAAGGGGCAGAGCTGCAAATTATTTGGGAACAAAGTGTTCCAGGCAGAGGGAACTATAAGGCTTTGACATTAGATTGCCCCTGGTATACCTGAACCTAAAGCAGAGCAAGCAACAGGGAAAGTGGTACAAGATGAAACTGGAGAGGAGGCCAGAGGGCAGGACTTGCCAGGCTTTATAGCCTATGGTAAGGACTTGGAACATTTAATAAAAAAACAAGAAAATGGGCAGCCCTGGTGGCTGAGCGGTTTAGCGCCGCCTCCAGCCCAGAGTGTGATCCTGGAGACCCTGGATTGAGTCCCACGTCGGGCTCCTTGCATGGAGCCTGCTTCTCCCTCTGCCTGTGTCTCTCTTTCTGTGTCTCTAATAAATAAAACATTAAAAAAAAAAAAAAAACAAGAAAATATAATGTTCAACTGTAGTTTTCTGAAGTCATTTTTGTAAGGAACTAAGGTTAACTGTCAAGTTCTGCAAACAGTAAACTTGGCTTGGATGTGTGTATAAAATATGTGTATCTATCCTAAGTTAATATGTTACTATATTTCTTCTTTTTATCTAGATTTATATGGTCCAGGGTATCTATGGCTATCATCACTATATGCAGGATCGGATAGATGACAATGGCTGGGGCTGTGCTTACCGATCTCTGCAGACAATCTGCTCTTGGTTCAAACACCAAGGCTACACAGAGAGATCCATTCCAACACACAGAGAAATTCAGCAGGTACAGAACATGCCACTTAAAGTTATAATCAATTGTACATTTCATTAGCCTTAATATACTATTAATAATTATGGTATATACCAATATGGTATACCTCATGGTATAGACTTATTTCTGTTTTGAAGGAAAAAAATATACTGGTAATCAGGGAAGAGATCCTAATTATAGTTTTTTAATAGCTGTCTTGTATATGGATCTTTTTGTGTTTTTAAATACACAAAGGCCCTAGTTGATGCCGGGGACAAACCAGCAACATTTGTTGGATCACGACAGTGGATTGGATCCATCGAGGTACAGCTGGTACTGAACCAACTGATTGGTGTAACTTCAAAAATATTGTTTGTCAGGTGAGGATACTTTAAGAAATTAGTGAAATCCTTTCAAAACAAGTTTGTCATTTTATTAAAATAAGAGGAAAATTACATATTTCTCTCTTTTCTCTTCCTCCATGCTGTTTTTACTTCCTCTCCTCCATGTTGCCTCATTGCTTTATAAATCTCATTTTTAAACCCTAAATTTTTTAGTTATTTTTTAGAAGACTTTGAGTTGATGAATAAACTTTGTGATATATACTTGCAGGTTGTAGGCTTAATTTTAGCCAGGAAGAAGAAAACTTGGAAATATGTCAATTTTGACTAGAGTTACAGAAAATCAGCTTTTTTTTATCCTTAAGTCCTTAGAAAGTCTTGAAAGAAGAAAATCAAATTTGATCTGTGACTGCTCTTTTTCTTCTTAAGATGTCAATAAGCTAATAATGTGTCAAAGTAATATAGTCATTTTTTCCCAATACAGTTTAACCATAATTCTAGTATTAAAATATGAACATGTGATCTCAGAGCCCTGGGATTGAGCCCTGCATCAGGCTCCAAACTCAGTGTGGAGTCTGCTTGAGATTCTCTCCCTCTCCCTCTCTTCCTCCCCACCCCTGCACTTACTCTCTCTAAATAAATACATCCTTAAAAAAATAAAAATAAAAAATGAGCAAATATTAACTAAATTATATTGATTTCTATGACAATAGCTAGCTTATTCCTTGTTAGTGACCTTATGTTTTAAATAAATTTTCTATTATAATAATCTCAATAGATATAGTCACATTATCCTTTTTTGTCCATGTGATTATGTCCAAGAACATATGATTTCACAATTGCAGTTTGGATTTTCTGTGGAAACCAGAACTAACAAATAAATGATAAATTAAGTAGTGAAGCATATGGTGATGAAAGACTGAACATTTTGGCACATTAAAATTTTGTATGGTACTAAGGATTAGTACCACCCAGCACCTCCAATCTAAAAAATAATCTCCTGTTATCTGGCTATCTTTCTCTCTTCTCAAGAGTACAAATTGTATAGGACATTGTACTTGAAATGCCAATAATAATATGTTGTACTTGAAAACCTATTGCAGTTTCCACTTTGGCGTCACAGATAGTGTCTATTTTAGTCCCAAATCTTCTGTCATGTAGACAGGACAGGGGTGATTGGTCACAGTCTAAAGAAGAGGAAGTATAGACTTTGTCTGATGGCAAGAAGACAAGAAGAACCCAGGACTTAAAACTCATTCTTCTGAAATTAAATCCACACATAAGAGCCCCGTGGCCATTGAGGTGACCACTTTCAGTCTTCCATTAACAAGCAAAGAAGCAAGGTTTTCTAGCTTGCTTTTAGTGGCCTAGCACATTTAGTGGCCTTAAATACTTAGAGAGGTTATGGTGTTTTAAGTTCTTCTCAAGTCAGTTCCCTACTACTTAATATTTTAGTTAAATTTATACGGTTTTTTTTTTTCAATAACCAAAAAACAAAACAAAAAACAGTAGAAAACAGTGGCTCCCAAACTCCTTATTTGACATTAGTGTGAGAAATTGTTCATCTGACGGAAAATGATTTCTTTCTAGCCAAGGTTGTGAAATGGCCTCTCAAGGACGGGAGCTGGCTAATCATTTCCAGACTGAAGGAACTCCAGTCATGATCGGTAAGGTGTTTTGGACCTCTTGGGCTCTTTGAGTAAAGGGGAGAATATATAAAATTTATTGTTAATATAAATAATGTCATAATATTAGTCATTTTAAAACATTTTAAAATTAGCTTTTATACCGTTAATACTGATCTCTGGATATTTATTTTTCAGTTTGCAAGGTGGGAGGAAAGTTATAAAAAAGATTGTAATAAACAGAAGTAAAAGCTGAGAAGTGCTAACTGTTGAAATTAAGTCAAGAGCAGTATAGAAAAGAGGCCACTCAATTGAGCCAGTTAAGTCATGGTGTCTCTAGCTTGGCTGGCTATGTAACATTATATAAATTGCTTCACCTCTCTGGGCTTTATTTGTAAAGAGGATCAGATTCATTGATCTAAACGCTGATGATTTTGTGAAGAATAAGACTTGATCTGTGATGACAGAGGGCAAACAAACACTGGAATATAAAATATGCAGGCAGACAGATTTTAGCAGAATATCAGAAAGACCTGAACAGGGAGGTGGGCTGTCCCACTGGAGGTACTCAGAGCAGAGGCAGCATTGTCCATATGCTGAGAGAGGCATCACAGCAGTGACTGTGATCCTCATAGCCCTTTCTAAATCCAGTTTAGGTAATTCCATGGATATGGCAGTGGAATATAAACCTGCTATGATTACAAATATGATTGAATCTTTTCTGATTTTAAAGATATAATTCTTTAAAATATCTTCTCAGAGTATACTGGACATTATCTGTGGTCTTTAGTAATATAAGCTAGTCTATTTTAAGGTGTTAGATCAATTAATTGGCAAAATAATCTTTTTAAATTGAAATTGAATAGGAAGCTGAGATTCATATATGCCTTTTCATATTTCATATATGCCCTTTCATATTTCATATTTCCCTTGCTATAGGAGGAGGAGTTTTGGCCCACACAATACTAGGAGTGGCATGGAATGAGATTACAGGGCAGATAAAATTTCTGATTTTAGATCCACATTACACAGGCGCTGAAGATCTGCAAGTTATTTTGGAAAAGGTAAGTATCTGTTTAACACAAATTTAGATGCATGGCAAAGAACCTGGAAGAAAAGGAGACCAAAATGACCATTAACAGAAAGATTATAAAGCAAGGGCTGTGAGCCACACTCGAGGTATTTCCAGGGCTGTGAGTAGTATCCGTCTAGATAGGGAGGACAAACCAAAAAAAATAAAGATAGGATAAGAGGGAACTAACATGAATTGCAGAGAACAAAATTTAGATTTATGAAGACTTTCTTAGTTATTAAACTTAATGGAACAAAGAGTTCATATATTCCTCTGGAGATGTTACAGCTTTGCATAAACAAATGTATTAAAATAGAGTGGATTAAATAACCTTATAATTGTATTATTAGCCAAAAGTTAGATATTATGGAGGCTTACCTACTTTTAATTTATTTACATGTAGTTTAATCTCATTCTATAATATTTGAATTTGAGACAAATTTAAGTATGTTCATTGATACTAATAATATCAGTGAAAGGAGTTATAAATGTAACTTAATTTATAGGCAACTAATTCTACATGTGAAAACTCATAGTAGGCAAGTATAATAAGACTTAATTAACTTGAATTTTAACTTCTATATTCTTTGCCAAATATATTAAAATCACAAAGAATGCATACAACTTTTTCAGCCACAAATCAAGGAATTTATCGTACTCTTACCCACTACCCTTCATTTTTCTCATGTTGTCACTTAAGTCAATATCATTAATACCAAGAAATAGCTTTCTCTAAACTCTGAAGTTATAATTTAATTAGGTCCTTTTTTTAAAAAAACACAATTCTTGGGAAATTACGTGGTTTAGAATTGAAATTCATTGGTGAGACACTTTCAGAAGTTGAAAAGAATGTAACTGCATGAGGTTACCAAAGCCCTAAGGATAAGGGGTTTGAGTATGTAAAGAGCTTTGGGGTATGTATAGCTGAACTCTTTATAGGCCAGTTTAGTATTTTACCAGCGATAAGACTAGAAATACTAACAGGATATAAATGTGTCCTGCATTTTTCTTTCAAAACATTTGGACTTTTAAATCTATGAAATGTTTTTGGCTAGTACATGAAAATGAGATCAGTATTTATTCTCTTTATGTAGCAAAGTATCCACCTATTCAGCATTAAGTACCTAATATGTGCCATCCACTGTCCAAGGTAATAGGGGCATTACAAAGGTCTTTAAGAAGCTCTTAGTCTAGTGTAGAAGACAGAAGCAATCTAAAAAAGTATTCCCAAGAAAAAAATATGGTTATCTAAGGTGGAGTTCACAACAAGGCTGATGCCTACTGCCTGCTCCCCCTACTGGGGATCCCTTAGAGACAGTGAAAGGACGTCAGACATGTTTTCAGAACTAAGCAGTCTTAACATGATTAGAGCTGTCGAAGAGGTTTGGCTGGAGGGAGAGGCAAGAACTAAAATTGTGAGCCAGGCAGAGAAAAAGAGCATTTAGATTTGATCTTAGAGGCAATGGGAAGCCTTAATCATTTTAATTAAAAGTGTGATATAGATCATAAAATTACTGCTTTCTGGCTGGTTAAAGGAACTTTGCAGTACATGGAAGTGTGTAGGTAGTGTTTTCTGAAGCAGTTGGATAGAATAAGGCATTGTCCTGGATTACTTTCTCTGTGGATTGTACTGTCCTTCTTTGCTAGTTCTATTTCTGAAGAATTTTCAATGTTAGAAAACCCTTTGCCCTGTTAGCACAAGGCACCATGAAGCCAAGGCCTGGCCATCACTAGAACTATTGACTCCTCACTTGACTCAAGAATCTAGAGCAGTGTCTTATAGCCTGGGCTGCTATAACACCATAGCCCAGGTGGCTTAGAAACAATAGAAACTTATTCCTCACGGTTCTGGAGGTGGGGAAACCCAAGGCACCAGCAGATTTGGTCTGGTGAGCCCCACTTAACTAGTTCACAGACATCAGTCTTTTTCACTGTGTCTGCACAAAGTGGAAGGGATCGGGGACCTTTCTGGGGCCTCCTTTAATGAAGGCACTAATCCCATCCATGAGGGCTCCACACTCATGACCTAGTCACCTCCTAAGGGCCCCGCTTCCACATACCATCACCTTAGGTATCAGCCATTAGGTTTCAACATGAATTTTGGAAGGACACAAACATTCAGTCTAGCAAGGGCCCCGTAGGGAAAGTTCTGCCTCTGAGCAACCTGTCTACCGTCTTGTGGAACTTTCCCATTTGAAGTTCCCAGACTAGTTGCCTCAAGAAAAAGAGCATGGCTCCTCTATCTACTCTCATCAGTTTCTGGTTTGGGCACCCTCTCTACTCACTTCTCCTTAATGTAATTTGAGTCTGGTTACGTGGAAAAGACCTAAAAGATTAAAACAGATAGTATAAGCCTTTATTCATCCAGAAGAAAACAGATTTTAGCACATTAAATTTATTAGAAAAGCTTTTGCTAAGAAAGATAACAAAAAAAAAGTACGTATAGAAACAGGTCTCAAAGTCAGAAAAAAAAACACAAATTTTGTGGTTACATGGGAACAAGGAAATAGGACTGATGGAGGATTTGATTTTTACTTTCATTTGAACTTTTATAATGTGTATCTTGTTTTTGCAATCAGAAAACCACAAAACCTAAAGAGCATCTCTAACTCAGCCCTCCAATCTCCACACTACAAAATAAAGCTAACATGCTATCTTCTAACACGTAGAAACCATAAACCATAAACTTCAGCTCTAGATCACTGCAGAGTACACAGCAGCTTCAGAGTTAGGCGAAAGAGTAAGACCACAGCACTTGTCACTCACTGGGTGGTATTTATTTTAAGAGTTCTGTCTGGCCTCCTCACAAGCAAAGCATTTCATTTCGGAATGCTAGAACTCAGACTAGTCATTAGCTGGGTCTTTAAGAAAATTGACGGCCCTAGAGGAAATTTGATAGACTTTTGTATTCACAGTGAGATTTTTGTTTGAAAGTAATTTTCTCTGCTGGGGAAAAGGATGGAAAAGATTGGAAAGTGGAAGGACAGTGAAGGGCAATTCAAGAGGCCAGCAGATTTCTCCCTGCCACATTTCCTCGTAGCTGAGATGCACATCATGATCCCTAGAACAGCCTTTAATGGATCACAAAAGCAGATTGCCCATTCAGCTATTTATTACCTGCCATTGGCTACCAGAATCATAAAACTTGGAATCAATAAAAGTGTGGTATCTGGAGTAATGTTACCATAACGAAGCTTTTTCTTTTTTTAACATTTCTTTGGTTAAATACTATAGAATTGACATTTTTTTTTAACTCTATCTGAAATGGACCCAAGTATGTTACTTTTCTGTGCTTTATAGAGTTCAGATCTTTGAGTTATATAGATAGAGTCTTTTCTGGGATCCAGTTGACAGAACAGGATTGTAAAATGTTACTATTTTGATCATGTAATCCTATAATTTAGTAAAAGGTTTTCCTATCCCTTCTCCCAAATCTAGGGCTGGTGTGGATGGAAAGGCCCAGACTTTTGGAACAAAGATGCTTACTATAATTTATGTCTTCCTCAGCGACCGAATATTTTTTAAAGTATCCCAGACTCAAATACTGTAGTAAAGTTGTATTATAAATTTGTTAATAAAGACTAAGTTTAACTTCAGTTAAATCCTGGGTGTAGTCTTGATGGTTTAAAGTACAAGTTTTTTCAAAGGCTGTAGATACTCCACAAAGAAAAGTTTATTCTTTAGACATTCTTTAATAACTTAAAAGACAAAAAGCACACACAACCAAAATATTACAAGCATGTAAAAACATGTATTCTTAAATGTTATCTTCACTTAGAAGAAAGTTTTCCTCCTTCTTAGAAGGAGTTGGGAGATACACCTGGTGAGCCAAAAGCCATAGCTTAGAGCTGAGCAGTAGATCTGTACGGAGTAAAGGCTTTCTTCAGAACTTTTCAGAACCAACATGAATCTGTGATAAAACATAGTGACATTAGAAACTTTTTTAAAAAGCCTTTCTCCCCATCCTTCCATCATGCAGGATGATTTCCTGTTTCTAGAATCAGCAGTAGTTACTACAACCAGTATTAAAATTGTTCATGAAAATAAAAAGATACACTGAAATAAGACTGCCAATATCTAAATGAAAAAAATTAACTGTGCTGAATAAGCAATCCCCGAGGAAGGAAGAAAACAACTGAGTTACATACCAACATTTCCTTTTTCCAGTTGTATTTTCTGCACTTCCAAAACTTCGTTTCTGTCTAAGCACTGGAACACAGTGATCTCTATTGGATCGGTCACTCGATTTTATTGTCTGCATACATTTAATTGTTGTAAGAAACTTGGCACATTCTAGAAATCCACATGCCCACGCAAGATCTTCAGCTGTTTGCCCATTCTTATTACATAAACTGAATTTAAGACAAAAATTGAGTTACATAAAAATTGACAATTGTTTAGCCTTTTTTTTTTTTTAAATAATCTCTCTCTACAAAAGAGCTTTGGAGTCATACAAATGTTGGTTTCAGAATACAAGTAGTAAAGGAATCCAAGAAATTCCAATATCCCCTCCTATTGCATGCTCAGTGGCTAGCACAGAGTTCAGCACAGTGAACATTCCATTTCTGAATAGATAAAAGTGTGTTCTGTGCTCAATCTAGTAAGTAATACTCAAAGGAAATCAATATGAACTTTTATAGAAGGGATTATCCCAAACCAAACCTAAGATGTAATACTGTCAGATGAAAAGAACTTCACCTCCGATTGCTAAGGATCCATTTTTTACTAAAATTTAATAGTATTAGGTATTGTTAACAGCCTAAGTTAACATTTAAATAACTAAACGGTCAATTAGGCAAGCATCATTTTTTTTTTAAAGTACATAATTATGCTTCAGGAGTCAGGAGTCTGATTAGCTTAATCCAAGAAAATGTGAAATTTGAAACCACTGACTTTATACTTACTCAATCTGGGCATCACTGGCTACAAGCAGGCTAAGGCATTCCAGACTTCCAACTTTTGCTGCCTTGTGTAGTGGTGCTTCTCCAAAAACATCCTTAAAGATAAGACAGTACATTCTAGCCTCTCCCCAAAACAATTTCTGTGGAAGGTGGCAGGGGAAGTCTAATGACTGTTTAAGGAAGCCAGTGAGAACTACATTGTACTGAAGTTTTTTACTTCAAAAAATTTTTTAATAAAGTCCACTTTGTGTTCTGTCAAATGCAAAATTTCCATAAATAAAAACACATGCAGCCACAGCTCCATACATTAAAATTTAAGTGAATAAAAGTGAAGTAGAGTTTTACAGAGGTAAAACAGTTTACAATTTATTTTTTTTTTAAATTTTTTAACAGTTTACAATTTAAATTCACCCTACTTTACCGGTCGCCTGGGTGGCTCAATGGCTGAGCGTCCGCCTTCGGCTCAGGGCGCGATCCCGGGGTCCTGCGATGGAGGCCCACATCGGGCTCCCCCGCAGGGAGCCTGCTTCTCTCCCTCTGCCTAAGTGTCTGCCTCTGTGTGTGTGTGTCTCATGAATAAATAAATAAAATCTTTAAAAAAGTAAAAGTAAATAAATTCACTCTACTTTAAATTCAATATAAGATCGTAAAGTTCTGCAGAAAGCTCTCATGGTTATGAGTTTGCCTCACAACCGTTATTTAAGTAATTACTGTACTGACCCTTTTAACCTAGTCATGTAGCAACTGCTCCCTTTGAAATAAACTGTAGACCTGTGTGCGCTGTGCAGTGTGGCAGCCAGGAGCCGCCGGTGCCTAACGAGCACCTGAAATGTGGCCAGACCAATGTGGCCAGACCGAGCTGAAACGGGCTGTAAATGCAACATACATACCAGGCAGGTCTGAGAAGAAAACGGAAGATGGGGGATCCCAGGGTGGCTCAGCGGTCTGGCGCCTGCCTTTGGCCCAGGGCGTAATCCTGGAGCCCTGAGATCCGGTCCCACATCAGGCTCCCGGCATGGAGCCTGCCTGTGTCTCTGCCTGCCTCTCTCTCTCTCTCTCTCTCTCTCTGTGTGTGTCTTTCATGAATGAATAAATTAAAAAAAAAAAGATGTATGCAATGTTTTTTACACTGCTTGCATATTGAAATATTTAGGTAAATTGAGCTGAGTCATAACTTTGGCTTCCTGTTCCACCTTCCTAACGTGGCCACGAGAAAATCTCACCACGGAAGCGTCTCGCTCGAGTATTTCTCTCGGGCACCTGGGCCACGGGCTGATGGAGGACGAGGGCAGCAGCAGCACTGGGGCGCCGGCAGCCGTCCGTGCGGCGGTGCGTGGAGCGGGGGGCTCGCGGCCACGGTCCGTAACCTAGTTACCTGCTGGTTGAGGTCGGCGCCGATCTGCAGCTGCCACAGAAGAAAGCAAGCAAGGCCGCCACCCGCGGCCAAGTGGACCGGCGCCTGCTCGCAGGGGTCCGGCGGCGCGTTGACCGAGGCCCCGGCCTCCAGCAGGTGCTTCACGCCATCCACCTGCCGGGGCAGAACCGCAGCTCAGGCTCCCGCTCGCGCTCCGGGTCCCGCTCCCGCCTCGCCCGCGGCTGCACGGACGCCCCCACGCCCCAGATCTAACCCGAGGCCTGACCCGGCCGCGCTCGGCGCCCAGTCCCCTCGCTACTGCCCCCGACAGACAGACACACGGACCTCCCGAGAAGGAAGGGGCGCGTCTCACCTCCGGGTTGCAGTCCAGCAGCTGCATCTTCCGCCTGACGCAGAGGACCGGAGGCCCTGGGCCAGTGCAGAGCGGCGGGGCAGTCGCCGCGGACCGGGAGGTACGAGTGCGCCGCCGGCCCGGAGCCGGGGAATTTAGATTGCCCGGGCCGCGGGCCGCCCCCGGCCGCCGCCCCCGCCCCGCCCCGCCCCGCCCCGCCGCGCGCCCTGCCCTGCCCGCCCCGCGGGAGCCGCACGTACGCAAACACCCGCACGTGTCGCCGCCCGGCCCGCGGGGGAGGCCGGCGGGGGAGGCCGGCGCAGGGCCGCCCGCTGATTGGCCGGCCGGGAGGCGCAGCCCCGCCCACCGCGGGGCGGGGCCCGGAGTGACCCCCGCGGGGCGCCCGTGCGCGTGCGCCGCCGAGGCCGCGGGGCGGCGGGGTTTGGCGGCGGCCATGAGGCGCGCGGAGCTGGACACGTCTCACGGCAGCGGGCCCGGCCCTCTGGTCCCTGTGGAGAAGCGGGAGTCGCGGGCGCGCACGTAACCAGGAAGCCAGAGCCCCGCGCCAGCGCCGCCTCGGGAAGCCGCCGAGCGTGCTGCTGGCGCCGGGCCCCCCGCCCTCCGGCTCCCGAGGAAGGAAGAGCTGCTTTGGCGTCACGTTCAAAATCTCCCCCCCGCCCCCCACCGCTCGCCTGTCCCCGACGCCCCGGGCTTGGAGGGGGAGCTGGGGACGGGGGAGGGGAGAGGGGCTAACGTGGTGGGGGGGATGGGCTTGCCCCGGGACCGCTCCGCCCCCCCCCCTGTCCCCGACGCCCAGGGCTTGGAGGGGGGAGCTGGGGACGGGGGAGGGGAGAGGGGCTAACGTGGTGGGGGGGATGGGCTTGACCCGGGACCGCTCCGCCCCCCCCCGGGTCCCCGACGCCCCGGGCTTGGAGGGGGAGCTGGGGACGGGGGAGGGAGAGGGCTAACGTGGTGGGGGGAGGCTGGGCTACCCGTGACGCCGCTGGGGGGGGAGCTCGGGCTTGCCCCGGGACCGCTCCGCCCCCCCCGGGTCCCCGACGCCCCGGGCTTGGAGGGGGGAGCTGGGGACGGGGGAGGGGAGAGGGGCTAACGTGGTGGGGGGGATGGGCTTGCCCCGGGACCGCTCCGCCCCCCCCCGGTCCCCGACGCCCCGGGCTTGGAGGGGGGAGCTGGGGACGGGGGAGGGGAGAGGGGCTAACGTGGTGGGGGGGATGGGCTTGACCCGGGACCGCTCCGCACCCCCCCCCGGTCCCCGACGCCCCGGGCCTGGAGGGAGCATAGCGGGGGCTGCCGGGTGGGGCGGCGAGGGGCGGGGAGGTTGGCTAATGTGAACGGAGGTGATGGGTTCGCCCCCGCGACTGCTCCGGCCACCCCCGCCCTCCCCCAAAAAACTAAATGATTTTTCAAATCGGGCCCTTTCGGGGACACCGGGCCCCTGCTGGGAAATCCGGTGAAATGAGCCGACCGTTGTACCGCGTCCCCTCGGCCGCCTGGGAGGGGACCTGTCGGCCCCAGCAGCCCCGGTGGGGGAGGACCGGGCCGCGGGCGTCAGTGACCGAAGGGGCTGGTCCCGGTGGGGGGGGGGCGGGGCGCGGAGGCACAGCGGGGGGGGGGCGGGGCGCGGAGGGCACAGCGCGGGCGGGGCAGTGGCTCCCCGGAGCTCCCGGCTGGCCTGCTCCAGCCAGTCCCTTCTGGACCACTTCAGGCCGCAGCGTCCACGGCATCCATCACTTCTGCACTGCCCTTGCCTAAACGCTTTTTTCGGATTAATCCCGCCGAAAAAAAACCAAAAGCTCCAACCTTTATTTAAACGTCGTCAGTGCTTTACTTCTGACTACTGATACCTTTGAGAGCAGGGCTGATAAAGAGAGGGTGTCTATTATGCTTTTAGGGGACAAGCTGGGAGACTGGCCCTTTAGTTCTAATTTTGCTTACAGGATCTTGCTTATGTCGTATTAAGCCATAAAACAAGTTTTCTTTTTTTCTTAGTCATCTATTTTTTATTTTATTTTTTAATGTATATTTTTTAATTGGCATTCAATTTGCAAACATATAGCATAACACCCAGTGCTCATCCCGCCAAGTGCCCCCCTCAGTGCCGTCACCCAGTCACCCCCACCCCCCGCCCACCTCCCCTTCCACCACCCCTAGTTCCTTTCCTAAAGTTAGGAGTCTCTCATGGTTTGTCACCCTCTCTGATTTTTCCCACTCATTTATTATTTTTTTTGACTTCGGTTTGCCAACATCATATAACACCCAGTGATCATCCCCTCAAGTACAAGGGGTAGTTTTCAACATTCTTATTCGTATGCATATCTGAACATAAGTGTATGTGTGTGTATTTAGGTTCAAACACAGAATCATGCTTGTGTTCAGGTTTTTTTTTATGTTGAAACTATTCAAAAAACTTTTATGGTATTTGCAGAATGTCAGAGATAAGTGAGAACACATGATCACATGGCCAGTTTCCCTTTTATGTATCAGTTAGGTAAGCACTGTTTTTTAAAAAGCATATAATGAAATTTTCAGGTTTGCACAGATGAAATTGAATTTTAGAACTCATCTTTAGGAATTCTTAAATGATGCAAGGTATTATCAGAGAAATTAGAATTCTAAGCATATATTGCAGTTAACGTGTGCAATGGGATATTGGTGCAGTGAATCTGCCTCCATATTACAAATTTATTTAAAACAAGATTCTATGCAGCAGGTGTTAAGTCTGGTAATTACTGTTGACTTCTTGTTATATATGTAAGTTTTACAAGGAAAGGGAATTTTGCGAGTAGTTGTTAAAGCTTTTCTCCTTTTAATCACTTCCTGCTTGTCCATTGCTCAAATGTTTCAGAAAAATTATGTCTCAGCTAAGTATCTGGTTTACTCTTAGTAATGGGCCTAAAAGCTTTCTAAAAACAACAAAACTGGTGGAGCACAAAAATAGAAGTATTACATTTGGGGAAGAAATACTATCTTATGAGCAAGCAGCTGGAGTTATTACTGAACATGTAGCATGTGGGAAATTTTCTAAAGAGGAAAATGATCTAAGATGCATATTCAACGGGCAGTCTTCTAAGCAGTGTTAATTCTTTTTTTTTTTTTTTTTATTTTTTAATTTTAATTTATTTATGATAGTCACAAAGAGAGAGAGAGAGAGGCAGAGAGATAGGCAGAGGGAGAAGCAGGCTCCATGCACCGGGAGCCCGACGTGGGACTCGATCCCGGGTCTCCAGGATCGCGCCCTGGGCCAAAGGCAGGCGCCAAACCGCTGCGCCACCCAGGGATCCCCAGCAGTGTTAATTCTATTTATGTTTAATTTGCTGGTAGATGTATCTCCAGAAGGAGGATGCTATTTAGAGTGAATGTTTTAAAAAAAAAAAAAATGTTGGATGATGACTGACCAAATGAATGAAAGATAATGTGAACTGAGTCTTGAAGTGTGAATAGAAGTTTGCCAGGTAGTCCGTGAAGGGAAGAGTATTGCTAAGGAGTATAAAATACCTTCCAGTGTTAAGAGAACTATGTGGGGAAAAAAAAAAAGAAAAGAAAAAAACTGTGTGTAATCTAGTCTGGATGCAGAATATGATACATATAGAGCAGCGATGTAAAATAAAGATTTATAAATAAGAAATTATATTAAATGATGTCTCCTCCAGTTTATTTTGATAAACTGACATTGAGTACTTGCTATGCCCCAAGATTAATATAGGTAGGTATTATTATCTGCTCCATCTCCATGTTACAGGAAAGGAAATTGAGGCTTAGGGAGGTTCAATAACTTCTCTAAGGTACTGCCATTATTAAGAAGTGGAGCTGGAACTCCGACCCTTTGACTCCAGATACCCCATTCCTACAACTAAATTTTAAAGAATTTTGGCCATCATTGGTAGCTTTGAAGTTACTAAGATTGGCTTCTTTAATGCAAAAAAAAAGTCCTTAGAGGATACTATTACAATCCATAGAAAAACAACTCTTTCATTCAATGGAACATTGAGTGAAGTTGAATCACTAAGTGGTACACCTGAAACTAACATAAGATCAACTATATTCAAATAAAAGAAAAATTTGGCAAAAAAACAAAAAAGTGAAAATTGAGTGGGGCAATTCTCTGTACTATCTTTGCAATTTTCTGCAAATCTCAAGTTATTCTAAAATACAAAGTTTATTTTAGGAAAAGGACTTATGGCAACTTAACCTATTACGTATTCTATTTCTTTCTGTAGACCAGGGCTATTATGTTTTTGTTTTCATACAAATATTTAGTTTCAATTTTAAGTAACTCTCTTTCCAAATACAGTAATGACAGAAGATACCTAAAACCTTGTGAAGCTAGTTTTAAACAAGGAACAAAAAATCTCACAAAGTATTCCAAACCAGTTACTTCTTAGTTTTTTGTTCTGATTGACCAATATACTTCAGTTGCTCTGCAAAACCCACTGCCCATGGATTGCATTGATCACCAGGAGGTCGTACCAGGCAGTTTCTAGAATGTTCAGTTACTTAGCCTTACATCACTTTAAATTTTCCTTCCACACCTATAAAGATTATTTTAATATCTAATAATATTAAGTATCATACAATGTAAAATAGCAGTGATAGTTATAATTTCTAAGAAAACTAAACCCAGTGCTTTCAAAATCATCAAGTCTCAAAAATGCTTTCCTTATATAAGGATAAATTAACAGTAAAAGAGGAGAACTAGCTCTGCATTCAAACTGTCCATGGGCATTTTTAAACTCCTACTTCATTTGAAAGAAACAAAATGGAATTCATATGCCTATGGTTTATGAAAGACAACTCTAAGTTCCCACATTCAACCTTCAACCTCTTTTTGAGGAAATAGCTTCTGACCCTAGATAAAAAGATTAGAAAGTTCTTACTAATCATTACATGTTCTAAGATAAAATGTATATGACATGATTGTATACTCTTTATTAATTTCTACATCGATTCTTATTTAATTAACCAAACTATTTCTTTGATTTAAGGAATATAGAGTGGCTGAATAGAACGCATTCTATTTTTTCAAATTTTTATCTAAATTCTAGTTAGTTAACATGTAGTTTAAAATTTAGTGATTCATCACTTACATATAACACCCAGAGCTCATTATAACAGGCCCCCTCATTTACCTTTTGATGTTGAGTGAATCCCCTAAGGAAAGGCCCTGGTAGACCTAACTGGCCAAAAAAGGTTTCCACACAGTGGGAACAAGACAGGTGAGGCGTGTGAATCCCAGGTAATTACCAAGATTTTTAACAAATCTATCTCTCCTGGACTGGTTTATTTGCTCACAGAAGACATGGTAAATTGGAGAAAAATTAAAAAGCTCCTAGGCTCTCCCACCCAGTGCTTATCTGGTAGTAAAAGACATCCTGTCTTTTCCCACATTTTTTCCCCCTCATTTCAGGGCATGAAAAGAAAGGGCATAGAGAAAAAGCACTTTTGTTTTAAATAAGCAAATAGACCTAACTGGAAGGGTAATAAAGGAAAAAAAGAACATAAGTCCACTGCCTGGTTCAGTATTGCCTCTTGAGATCTCAGTAGTATTTATAAAACTCTTTTCTAAATTTCCATATGTACAGATTATGCTTCCAGTTAATATATGAACACTACTATTCTTTTAATGACTCTTACACAACAGTAATGAACAGTAATGAATTTGCATTTTTGCCCAGGACACTTATTTAAATCTATTTTCATGAGTACCAGTAACATTGTTTATTTAGTATGACAGGAACTTCAGTGTTGTACCTCCATTTTAAAAGAATTTAAATAAGTGTGCTCCTTTCTCCAGCCGTAAATAATGCAGGATCATATGTGCAATGTTCCTGCGTAAGGAAGCCCATTACAGACTCAGGACCCAATGTTTTTATTGGAAGCTGGTCACATAGGCATCTTCTGCCTAACAACTACTAAAATGCCATTTCCATGGTGTGCAAAGCATGCAAAAATCACCTACCGAATATTTGTATTTACATTTATGTTTATGTAGTAACTACAAGGGAGTGCTAGAGAGGCTTCTGGGGTGCTGCTAATTTTCTCTTTCTTGATCTGAGTGAAAATTCATCAAACTGTAAACTTACATATACATTTCTATATATTACACCTCAATAAAAAGTTTTTAAATTTTAATATTAAAGTTTTAAATATTAACAGCAAACTCGTTGTGGCTAAAGAAAGGATTAATAAAATGGGAGAGAGTGCTGAAGAGATTACTTAGAATGTGGCAAAAAGAAATAAACTAGATGGAAATGTGAAAAACAGAATAAGACACATGGGAGGAAGGTCTAATTTCTGGAATGCCAAAAAGAGAAGAGAGAATGGGGCAGAAGCCATATTTGAAGAATATAATGGGTTGAACTGTGTTCTCCAAAAAGATATATTCAAAGTCTTAAAACCTGATTGCTGTGAAGGTAATCTTATTTGAAAATAAGATCTTTATGGAAAAATCAAGTGAAGTTGAGGTCATATTGGATTAGGGTGGGCCCCAAATCCAGTGGCTGGTGTCTTTATAAGAGGACACACAGGGACAGAGGAGAAACATAGAGAAGGCCATGTGAAGACAGAGGCAGAGGAGTGCTTGGGTGGCTCAGTCAGTTAAGCATCTGCTGTCGGTTCAGGTTATGATCCTGAGTCTGGATCAAGCCCTGCTTCTCCTTCTCCCTCTTTCTCTGCTCCTGTGCTCACTCAGTCACTCTCTTGCACATGCTCTCTCTTTCAAATGAATATTTTTTTAAAAAGAAGCAAAGATTGGAGTGACACAGCTTACAAGCCTAGGATCCCCAAAGAGTGCCAGCAACCACCAGAAGCTAGAAAATAAACTTGGGATGGTTTCTTCCCTAAACCAAAGGAACCATTTCCCTGACAACACATTCCTCCTGGACTGGTCTCCAGAGCTATGGAAGAATAAATTTTTGTTGAGCCACAAAGTTTGTGGCAATTTGTAAAACAGCTTTAGGAAACTGAAACTAACACAAATACATTATGTCTGAGAATTTTTTAGAATTATTAAAAGACACCAACCCAAGACTCAGGAAGTACAACATTCCCAAAGCAAAATAAATACCTAGTCACTTCAATAAACCCAACAGCAGGCAATAAAAGGGAAAAGAAGCAAGAATAAAGCAGATGGATTGAAAGTACAAAATGATTCCAGTTCAATAGTGATTAAAATAAATGTAAAAGAACTAAATGTACCAGTAATAATAAAAAATTATCAGCCTGGGTATAAAAAAGAATCAACAAATCTAAATATATCCTATTTATAAGAGACATGCCTGACATAGGACGACTACAACTCCACAAGACAACACAAAGGCAGATACTTAACAGAAGAGAAAAACATGAATAGCTAAGAAACATGAAAAAGGAGCTTAAGGGGAGAATAGGGAGTGTTTTGGGGTAAGGCAGGTGGAAGGTGGGAGGAAGGATGAAGTCTAAAATGAGCCTACAGGAGATTTAAAGGAAATGTAATTTTTAAATATTAAATGGCAGGCAATGGATGTTAGTTTTATTGTTTTTCTTCATTCCTTACACATATATCCAAAAGTTATTTCGTATCTATTCAATTTTTTAGGTTTTAAATTTTTAAAAATTAAGTCTTTTGGCACTATAATCAGACCTACTTAATGATTTCTCACTTGTAGTACTACAATCTAGTCTGTTATAGACACTTGCCTCTTTTCCCTGGTTTTTCACGTTTATCATTTCTTTTTATTTCCACTTTGATTCAAATCCCTGCCAGGGCATAACCGTGGAGGAGTTCCAGCTCGCCTGACTGTTAAAGAAATGGTCGTTGAGCTTCATCTTGTCCTCAGGAGGCAGCTCTGGCCTGCAGTTCTGTCTGGCACGACTTGGCTCGCTGTTAGAGAAGTGGCTGTAACTCACATCTCCAGTCTCTGTAGACTTCCCCTACTGTCAAAGCCTCCTCTCCTCCCATCATTCAGCATTTTCAATTAGGCTATTATTCATCTTTAGGTTAATTTTAGTCCTCTCACCAATGACGCATTATTTTATCAAAAAGTTCACATGCTGTAACTGTACATACTATCCATAGTACACTGTGTCTAACATTCATTAGAAAGGAAGTTATCCTTTATTATGAAAACTTTAGAAAAATAGGAATAAAATACCTCTTCCTCTGTACATCTCTGTTGTATCGGGTTGGATTCCCTAGAAGCATCGTCTGAGCCAGGGATTTTTATTCAGGTAATGTGCCGGGGAGGGGGGTACTCTCCAGAGAAGGGAAATGAAAAAGGAACAATCTAGCAAGGAGGTAATGCTAAGTAGGAATGTGGGCTCAGATGGCAACTGGCCTCGTTCTGACCTCACGGAGAACATATCTGAGTTCATCTCACCTTGAGGCAAAGGGGTAACAAGGACTCTGCAGGGTCTGAGGATTTACCCCACTTTCAACTGACAAGCTGGCCTGTTTCATGGATGTTGGCTTAACACACAAAACTCTTGGGTCAGAGAGCAATGACCTTATCACCCACAGCAAGAGCAATAGCTAGAGTGTCAGCATGATGCTGACGCTGGTTCACTACTAACCTCTACTTCCCACAGAAGTCATACAAAGGGCCCATGATGGATGCCTGTTTATTCAGTAGGCTGCATTATAAGACAACAGAACTGCAAATTGGGAGAGGGGGAAGGATTCAGTCCTTTCTTATAAACACAAGCCTATTCTTTATCTATGGGGAGATATTACCCCAGCCCTAAAGGTTAACTCATTGCAAACGACCTTGAGAAACGGCCCATGTAAAAAGCATTCATGGCCTGTGTTCATGAGGTACCCAGCAAGGATGGGCCAGAATGTTCAAGACTCATGGCCAATTGTGTCTCTCAATAGGAACTGGCCTTCCAAGCCCTCATGCCAGTGACCTGCCTCTAAGAAGGAGGGAGCGAGTCAGGGGTCAGAGGACTCATGTTTGGCAGGGGAACCAGGCAAGAAGGAAGGCATTTTTAGTTAACAAAGCAGCTGGAAATTGGGTGCTAACTAGTATAGAGGATCTGGGAAGGGCACCATCAGTGTCCACTACACCCACAGTTCCCTTTAAAATTGTGGATTCCTTTCAGGTTCTATATCATCAGTTAATGTCTATAATTTTTATTAGATAATTTTCTAAATTTCCAGTATATTATGCAAGTTGTTGTTTCGAATAATTTTATATCTAATCCCAAGATCTGACAGAAATAAGTTCATACTTTCCTTCTAAATTCTTATTATATCTCATTTTCTGAAATTAAAAAGTACTAAATTTTGGTTTATTCTCTAACAGAAGTCCTGCCATTTAGAAAAATCATATTAGTCTCAATTTTTGGAGAACAGTATAGAATAATGATGAGATGCAGAGGTGCTGGGATGTCCCAGTTGTCCCACATCCTAGCGCTATAACTTGAGGCAAGTTACTTAACCCCCTCAGTGTTCCCATATGTTAAAGGGGCCTTATAATAGCTCCTATTTCATAAAGTTTTGGAGGAGCTACTGCCTGAGCACTTAGAACAAAGAACAATACCTGGCATTTAAGAGCTCAATCAATCTTTGCTTATGTTTTCTAGACCCTCTCCAATGCTTCTTTCAAGCTACAACAAAAACCAGGTGCAGCATTGTAACCACAGAGAGTAACATGAGTTCAAAAGAGGTATTGTGTTTTGACTTGCTTCATTTCCGATGCTGTTCCTGAATATGCCAAGTTTTTTCTTAGCCCTCTTGGATATGATAGCACACAGGTTAATGTCTTCAGTAAAATAAAAACTTCTATAACCAGTTTCTCAGTAAATTGACAATGCTATCTATATCATCCTATCTGAATTGGGTTTTGTCTAAATGATTTACCTATTATTTCTTCACCTCAAAGCTCATTGGAGACTTTTACCCTAACATAAACAAAAGTTTTTTGGAATCATATAATCAAAAAATTTTATATATCTAGCAACAGACATTTGGAAATCCTCTAGTTCAAATTACCTATAGTCAGTCCACACTACAATTCAAGAAATTGACTTTTCAAAAAATTAAATACCTCTTCCAAAATGACAAAGATATTGCAGTGGGTTTCTTTTCCCTAATATACTGAATTATCTCCCTTTTCTGCACTTCATTCTTATTAAGGAAGCAATCTATTGTCCAAAATAGTTTGACATAATAGTATAAATGCAGCTTTCCAATCACACTAAAGGTCTCCTGAGTTGTTCTGCTCGCCACCAATCTGGAATCTTTACTGGAAGCTTGTTCCTGATTGGTTAAAGTCGCTGTAACAGTAGAATGCCAAGGAATAAACAAAAAAGCATAGCAACAACTGAATTTGCTGTCTCACTACTCTCAGCCTGGGCCAGCCTGGACTCCTTCATCCCAAATGAGGTGGCCTCTACATTTTATATGAAGGCTTTGATTTTCCATTCAACTGTGATCCATCTTCTAACATGGCAATCCAATACAGATGGGAAGATAAAACTGAACAATACAGCTAAAATAAAGTGTATTCCCAGGTAAAATAGACGAATGCTTTAATTTGAAATGAGTAAGTGTCACGAGCTTGAGTTGCAAGGCAAAGTACCAGGGCACCAGAACTCTTATCTATGGGCAGTGTCACCAGTTCCTACTAGTGGCAGGCGTGGTGGGTGACACAAGGCACTGCAGTTGTGAACTCTCAGCCAGAGAGGACTTGCAAAGGGCTCTCATCATGAATCCCTCGCCGTGGAAACAGACATGGAGGATGGTTGTGCCTCTTGTACCTATGGAAGGTTCTGGTTTCCCAGAAAGAATATGCACCTCCCAGAGCTGGTAGTTTGCTGCCCTATCCCTAGGCTAATGCAGGGAGGTTGCTTTTTATAATGAATGCCAAATGAGAGTGGAGTCTTTTTGCACTTTTCTGGATGAAAATATTTTTACCATCTTGTTTTTTATTCTTGTTTACAGGATACACATTGTGGAAACAGGATGAAGTTGACCAGTGAAAAGTTGCCCAAGAACCCCTTTTATACCTCTCTATCCCAAAACGGAGCTAAGAACCCAAAATTCTTCCAATGGAGGAAGGAAAAGACTGGTACAAATTCTGATAATATTCTCACTAAAAGTCCATTCTGTACACCAGAGCAAAAAAGACAAGACATAGGAGTCTCACTGCTGTCAAGGAAGTGGTTAACTTTACTGTTCTTTTTAGCTTTCCTGTAAGAATCTGAGAAATTGCTGCTTATCTGGTACCAAATCATCAGTGGAGAAGTCTCATAATTAGATTCCAATCCTGGTTTTACTCTTAGGATTTTAGGACACCCTTCTGGAAAAGAAAAGCCAGATGTCACTTTTATTAAAGAAAACATTGCCATACTTCCAATTGTCATTGAAAGCTGCCATTTTGTTTCTGTAGACATACTAAGATTAAATTGAGGATGGTTACTAGCTCATTTGGTTAGAGTAGTCCAAATTAAAGCTCAAATTAAGAATTTCACTCATCCACAGGTAGCTTTGCCTAAAGAACTACACACAGCATTGCTAGAGCTCCTGCCTACTAGTAAATTGGGTGAGTTTGGAAACCAATCAACACATACTTGATTTTACAAGGAACGGGGTTAGGTGCTGTGATGCTTTTCCCTTGAGCTAAGGAGGCCAGTTTTATGAATGAGAACTAGGAAGGAAACTAGTATAAATGGGTCACCTGGGTGGCTCAGCAGTTGGGCACCTGCCTTCAGCTCAGGTTGTGATCCCGGAATCTGGAATCAAGTCCTGCATCGGGCTCTCTGCATAGAGCCTGCTTCTCCCTCTGCCTGTGTCTCTGCCTCTCTCTCTTTGTCTCTCATGAATAAATAAATAACTCTTTAAAAAAAAAAAACTAGTATAAACAGTGCCAGATGAGTTCTATATAATTCATGACTTCAAGAGAGTAAATTCATTTCGTATGGATAAAGATGGAATTCTTTACCTTTTAAAAACCAGATCATTACAGCCATGCAAATTTGGTGGATAAGGCATTGCAGCTCTTGAAGGAAAGAATAAGAAGAGGGGATGCCCTGGCATATTTCCTCCGAGGCCAACTATATTTTGAAGAGGTATCATTTCCTATTTTCTTTTTTAAAAATGTATTTAAATTCAGTTTAGTTAACATTGTTAACTACTGTACTATTCGTTTCAGGGGCAGAATTTAGTGATTCATCAGTTGTGTATAACACCCAGTGCTCACTCCATCATGTACCCTCCCTTAATGCCCATCACCCAGTTACCCCATCCCCCCACCCCTCTCCCCTATAGCCACCCTCAGTTTGTTCCCTAGAGTTAAGAGTCTCTTATGGTTTGCCTCCTTATCTGTTTTCATTTTATTTTTTCCTGTTTTCATTTCATATAATGCTATTGTTGGATCCTCATAGCAAAATTTCCCATAGAGTTCCTTAGGTTGTTATGCAGAGGGATTTCTGGCAAATACCATAGGTTATGGTTGTGGCTTTAAGTACACCGTTAAGGAGATATTTGACCTTCCTCCATAAAAGCCATTCTAATGCAAGTCGTTTTTGGAGTCATTCTAGTATAAAATCCATTCTCATACTAAAAATTAAAAATATAATTTTTACTTTTGCCCCAAATAATTAATATCATTTACAAAGTCTTTTCATATGAATAACTAAAGACCCTGTTTCTTATCTAGTACTTAGAGGCTTTATAGGTTCCTTTCTAGAGGTAGGAGGGAAGTGCCTTCTTTCTCCACATTATGCTGAAGCATCCTAAGGAGTAGATGTAGGAGGAACTGTGCAAAACCATCACTTAAATTTCCATAATATAGCATCAGTCCTTCATTGACCCCTGCGGGGTGATGTGAAATGGACCACCAGGTGTCCCCAATCCCTGACCACTCACTGAATATTTGGGCAGCTTTTAACCTATATCCTACTTACTCTTAAATCTGATGGCTCCATCATTCCTTCTGGCAACAAATATTTGTTGAGGATTCATCATGCACCTGTCAACCATGAGGACAGCATAGGTTAAGAGCAAGATATCTTAGCTTTGGGTATCATTAGGGTATGATTCCTACTACTTGTAAACTGTGTAGCCTTGGGCACAAATACTTAACCTCATGGAGTCTCAGTTTTTTCATCTGTAAAAGGGGGGTAATAATGTGCATTTCCTAGAACTATTGTGAAGATTGTATTCATTGTAAAAGTATTTACTAACAGAATAAGTGCTTTATAGGTGTTTACTATTATTATGCTAAACTAAGACCATATGGTGACAAGGGAACCAGAATGGTCCCCATTTCATAAAACTTAGTCTACCAGGGGAAGAAAATAAGTGAAGAAATAAGGAGGAGTACTATAAGAGCAGTTAACTGGGTACCATGATAGAGAATAATTTAGAAATAGGGTGGAAAGACACCGTGGTTGACACTAATTTGAAGAAAAGGAAATGAGCAGCGCAAATAGCCAAGTGGAAGTGCATTCCAGGTGGAGGTGAGAAAATGCAGTGTTTTGTTTCAGGGATGAGAGGGGGCTCTGTGAGCTCTGGGAATTGAGACCAACGTGGTAATCAGCAAGGCAAAGTATGACTCTAGATGAGCTTCGTGTAAATTGTAGTCAGAAGACATTGGAGTGTTTTGAATCTGTTAATGAGAACAGATTAGAAGTCAAGCATGGAACCAGTTTAGGGGGAAATTATACTACTCCCGGCAACAGAGGATAGTGGTCTTGACCAGAGTGGCAGCAGTGGAAGCTAGGTCCTGGATTTATTTTGGAGACACAAATAAATATATCATTGACCGAAAAATACAGAAGTGAGGAGGGTGAATTTTGAGAGGGCGATCAAGGGTTCAGGTTTTATATACACTGTGTTTCTGACGTCCATTAGTTATCCACATAGACAGGTTTCAAAGTAGAAACTTACATGTTAAGAGTCTAAATCTCAAAGGAGAAGTCTGGATTCAAAGTATATATCTGAGATTTTCCAGCATGTAGATGGCATTGAAAATCATAAAAAACTAACACGGCCTCCTTTCTTTTCCTTCCTATTGAGTATTCTCACTTTTCCAGCTCTCTCCCATCTAAGCCAAACATTGGAGAAAGGAGAAAGAGTCTTAACAACTAGGTCATTGACTCATTATAATGTGTTCTTTAAAATTAGTATCTGTTCATATTTTAATACAGTTTTTATTAGTTTTATTAATTTGTTGACTAATTATAGTTTATAAAAAAAGGAATTCAGTTGTTTTTGTATCTTCCAGAAGTTGTCTTTCTCTGGTCTTCTCTACCTAAGTAATAGCCATCTAATTCAGTAACACACTTTCTTTCCACAATTACACGTGATTCATTCTTTAGTGTAAGGCATTTTCCTTGGTGGATTACGATATAAGCCCTATTAGTTCCTCACACCTCAGTATCAGATAACTGCCAAGGAATCTTAAAACATGTAGGTTTCTTAGGAAGTATGGGAGAATGATAATTTTAGAGAATCACATTTGTTTTTCCATGTCTTCTCCCTAACTGGAGAACTGCAGTACTGGAGGACATGAGCCATAGTAATAGTGGATATCTCATAATAGTGGATATATCCTGATGTTCACATTTTCCCTTGACTCTCTGGTCCCAGCTCTGAAGTTTCTTAAACTCCAGGAGTGGTGGGGGACATGGCAAGATGGATTGAGCAGAGGGCTCGCTGCCATTTTGAGAGAAGTTTGGCAATATCCAAAAGTACCAGTATAAGCAAAAGAGAGTCTTGCCCCAATTTTTCCTGGGCACTTCCCCCAGGTGCCATATCCAGGTCTCTTTAATTGATTTAATAGCATGTTTACTGGTGTCGATGCCATACTTGCAAATTCCATAAATTAATTGCTGTCTTTTGTTATATTTGGTTCTTTTAGCTAGATTTGGGTGGGAGTTAAATATTTGGGATTACTTTAAGGTAATAGTAAAAATAAGTCAATATTTCCTGAGCTTCTAGGGATGGTATGAAGAAGCATTAGAACAGTTTGAAGAAATCAAGGAAAAAGACCATCAAGCAACTTACCAGCTAGGAGTAATGTATTACGATGGGCTGGGGACACCTATAGACGCTGTAAGTTGCTGTTTCGTTCAATGTTTAAGATTTCATTGTTAGTGGATTATTTGATATAATTATTTATATTTTAATAATATATTTCTGTGCTTAATTTTAATATCTACCCTTTTAGCATTTCAAGGATAGCAGTATTCACTTTTACATTTATGTGAAAAAACAAAATTTCTTTTTGCCCCTTCCTCACTACCTCTGTCAATAACACTTCTATTTTAAAACATTTTCCTTTATTTTTAAAAGTTATTCCAAAACTACCTGGAGGGATCCCTGGGTGGCGCAGCGGTTTGGCGCCTGCCTTTGGCCCAGGGCGCGATCCTGGAGACCCGGGATCGAATCCCACGTTGGGCTCCTGGTGCATGGAGCCTGCTTCTCCCTCTGCCTATGTCTCTGCCTCTCTTTCTCTCTCTCTGTGACTATCATAAATAAATAAAAATTAAAAAAAAAAAAAAAACTACCTGGAGAAAAGTTAGAAAATGAGCAAAAATAGGATCACCAAATTCTACTATCAAATGTGAATCTGGTTATTATTCTACAGTATATTCTTCAATGTATCACACCAGGCAAAAAATTATATATATATATATATATATATATATATATATATATAATTATATATTATATATATAATTTTATATATTGTACATCTTTCTGGTCATTTGTCTTCACTATATACATATATTGAGTGTGTGTACATTTTTTCAATGTAGGACGACGATACCATACATAATGTTTTTAAATATCCCTTTTCACCTAACAATTTTGAATATCTTTCTCCTTGTCAATAAATAGAATCTATTATCATTTTAATACCTACATAATTAATATGTATCGATAATATTTCTAGGCTTCATTTGCTTGTGCATGTTTAAAGTTAAAGAAAAGAATAAACTAAGCTTTGAGGTTTTGGAGAGCAGTATTACAGTTTTCTCTCTTCCTTATGGGCTTTATTTTTTAGTTTTTCTTTTTGGTCTCATTTTACAGGGAAATTTCATACACTATCAAATAAAAATTAGGAATTTACTTTAAAAAATTTCAAAGATATTCAGAAGTTTGTTTCTCTGTGTTCACTAGCTAAGCTCTTCTCTACATAATGGTCTATTAAAAATTTGTGAAAAATCATATGCTTTCAAATCCTCTCTTCACTACTTACAAGAAGTACGATCTTAGGGAAATTATTTCTGGTCTGTAGTTTCCTCATTTGTAAAATAAGGATAAATGAACCTAAGTTAGAGATACATCTGCCATTTCCCTACACCCCTGGCCATGGCCATCCTGGGTAATTGATCAGAGCCCCCTTTCTAGCTGAATCCAGACATAGCCTCAGAATTTTAATCAATACAAAGCTTTAAGGTTACATTACCAATTCAATCCACTGGAGGCAGCATACAAAATAAAACCCATTAACCTCACATAGTTGTTAATGAGATTGAACCACATGTAAAATAACGTAAGACACAGGTAGTAAGTATCCAGTGTTTTCTTTCCAGACTTTATGTTGTATAGAGTCAACAATGAGGACTGTTCTTTAATTCCTGATATTCTTCACTTTTACTTTTTTATAATCATAGCATGTGAAATAAGTAAATGGTTAAAAAAATTAATATTTCCATTAAATGTTTTATTTTAACCTATTTATAGTTTAACCTGTTAAAAGCATAGTAACATGTGAGATCCATGACTACATTGCCCCTCCTATGAATTGAACACAATTGACCACATCCTTCTTGAAACATCTTCCTCTAAGATTCTCTCCCATGCTTTGTATACCTCTTTGCACCATCTTCTATGTGTTTGTGATACAATTTTCCCTGTTCACCTCTTCATAGCCACTCCCTGCCCTTTGCTAGCTGCTTCTAAGTGTTGAAGTGTGTCAGAACCTGAGTCCCCGCTGTCCTTTACTTTCTCTCTTGTTCTAAGCTCAACCAGTCCCATGGCTAACACTACCTATACCTTTTTTTAAAAAGACTTTACTTGAGAGAGAGTGTACACACACAAGTGAGGGGAGGGGCAGAGGGAGAAGCAGGCTCCCTGCTGAGCAGAGTCCAACATGGGGCTCCATCCCAGGACCGTGAGATCGTGACCTGAGCTGAAGACAGACACTTAGCTGACTGAACCACCCAGGCCCCCCTCATTACCTGTACTTTTAAAAGACTTCCAAATTATTGTCTTCACCCCAAAACCTCATGCTGAGGTCTATACAGCCAACTGCCTGTCTCTCCCTAGATAGTTTAGTAAGCATCTCCTGGTCTCTCTGAGTCCACATCTAGTTAACCTATAAATCTGTTGCTTGAAACACACACAAATCCTGTTTAAGGCAGTGGAGTTTCTTTGTGCCCTGGTACCATTCACAGAGGTCATCGTCATCCTTGGAATTGCCTTAAAGGGCACAAAAGTGGTGTTTATGCAGTGTGAGCACCTCCTCTACAGTTCCCGAGGTGCGTGCTACTCTTGTGACTTATCCAGCTCTGGTTTATTTTGATTCATTGTCTTATTCACTCACTCTTTCATTTCACAAACGTTTACGAGGCAGAATAGTCTGAGGTGCCGAAGAAGCAAAGATGAGTGTAAAAAGGAAGGCATAGTCTTGAGAATGACTGTGAGTGCAGTTGTGGGTCCACGGCTGGGGCAGATGCAGTATTAGGCACAGAGCCAAGGCCAGGGGAGTCTTCACAGAGCAGCTGCCATGTACTGACTCTCAGAAGGAAGCACAGCATGTAAGGTAAGGAATGGCAGATGGATGCAGGGAGCAATGGTAGGACACCTCATTCAGGAACCTGGACCTGACTTCCTCAGCCAGCCCTTCGCACGTTTACTAACCCAACTAGTCTTGGCACAACTACCCATGACCCATGCTCTATAGACATAGGCAGCCAGGTACTTAAAAGTTCTCCATATAGAAACTTGGGCCAGCACAGTAATCTCAATGCCAATTCTACATCCATTTAACCATACTCTTTGAGGCAGTTGCCACCTAATCTCTTTGGCCTTTCCAGAGAACTTTCCTAGAGAAAGATCCTATCTAAGAAAAATTATGGTGGCAGCTGTTAAGGTGATAAAATATTTGCCATGGTTACAAACAAAATCAATAATACATTAGAAGAATGAGGTATCATAACCAAGCAAAATTTAGCCCAGACATTTAACAATTCAATATAAGGAAATCTATGAATATACCACTTTAGTAGCTTGAATAAAAGACAACATGTATTGAAAAAGCATTTCATAAACCTCAGAACTTCTCATAATGAAAACTTTTAAAAAACAGTACTAGGAAGTGTGTTTCCTTATAACTTAGGAGTGGCCAAAGCCCAAACTAGGGAGTCTTTTTTCCATTGGTCACATGCACCTACTCCTACCGTCTCTTGAATATCTTTGAGATCTGTCCCCAGTCCTTTATGCCCACTCCTTCTTTTCCAGTTCAGCCTCACAGTACCCCTTATCTGGGTTATTTCAGAAACAGATCCCCAACTTCTTGCCCTTGTCCCAAATTCATTATTTAAACTGCCACTGAAGTTATCTTTCCAAAATCCAAATCTGATGACATCCTGTCCATCTTTCAAAAGCTTCAATGCTGAACATCAATAAAAGGGCATGATTTGGAGTGTTCCCATGGACAGCCAGCTGGCCACCAAGAGGCCACATAAAGTAACATTTACTTGGTTAATTCAAATTCAAATTCAAAGTCTTGGTAAATAATTCCCACTGTAAATTCTCACACTAGTCCCAAGTTTGCTGAATCTGTCAGATTGCTGCCCACAGGGGTCCCTACCAGGTATCATGAGGCTAACCCACTGTGACTGTACCTGAACCTGTATCAGAATTCCATTCAGAACCCTAACTTCACTTGGTCCCACTAGGCCTCACAGCTGTATCATCTTTGGCCACCACACGCATTGTATATCTTTCTGGTCATTTGTTAACTCACACATTCTTGACTCCGTATTGCATTCTGCTTCCTCCCCTTTTCTCACAGCTGCTCTCCCTCCTAAACATTCCAGCTGGCAAATCCTCAGCCTTTTCTCAGACTATTTCATCCACCTCCTTGCCTTATCAGAAAGTTAGCTGTCCCACATCCACCCCTCTGTAAGTCGAGGCTCTCCTGCCACATTGCTACGTACCACAGCGCTCAAAGGCGAAACTGGCATCATTTTCATCCCCCACTTCATTTTCCAGCTATTATCTCTCCTCCGCCCCATGCACAAAGAACCAACTTCGAAATCCATATCAACTTAACTTTCCCGGTTCTGTCCATTTCCTAGTCATTGGTCATTCTCTAAACATTAAGTTGAATACTTTGATTTTGGGCTTATACTTTTCCTCTGTGTGTTGTTCCATCATCATTTTATCTGATATTTGAACTAAGAACCAAGCAACAAGAGGGAGAAACCTCTCTTGTATGTAGATCTGGGGAATCACATTCCAGGTAAAGGAAATATGTTATGGTCTGAGAAAGAAGGAAGGTACAACTGGAATATTGTCACACCAGAGAGACAGGGTCAAGCCACAAGGGACTTGGTAAACTAGGGCCAAGAGTTTGGCTTATGTTATCAGTGTAGTGTGAAAACACTGAAAGACAGTCAAATTCATAGGATTTCTATTTTAAAAAATCATTTTGTCTGTTGTGTGGAGAATGGATAGAATGGAGGCAGGAGTAGAAGCAGGAAGCTAGTTGGGAAGCCACTGCAGTTCAGATAAAACCACTTAAACTAAAGTACCATCATGGAAATAGAGAAAAGGGGACAGATTTAGGATATGTTTTTCTTTTTTTTAAGATTTTATTTATTTATTAATGAGAGATACAGGCAGAGAGAGAAGCAGGCTCCCCGTGGGAAGCCTGATGTGGGACTCAATCCCAGGACCCCGGAATCATGCCCTGAGCCGAAAGCAGACACTCAACCACTGAGCCACCCAGGTATCCCAGGATATACTTTTAAGAGGATACAGGTCTTCTGGTGGACTAGGAGAGTGGTAGGAATAATAAATAATAATAAATAAGGGAA